ACACAAGATCGCCACCTCTAGCTCAACCATCCACTTAGAGCAGTGGTTCTTAACCTGTGGACCACCAGTGGTCCACGAGGATGAAACTTTGGTCCACGAGCCTCCTTCCTTTTTATTCATTTTATTTTATTTCCGCTCCTTTCGCACTGCCTGCCACTCCTTCTCTGTCGCTGACCATGGCATATGTTCTGTATCAGAAACTAGAGCTGATGTGGTCTATCCAATACAAATTTCTGAATCGGCATCCCAAACCAAATTTAAAATTGACCAAAAACTGATTCATAATCCTTTTGGTACTAATGTTGAAGAGCGGTCCCTGGTCACAGTGGTCCCTGGTCAAGAAAATGTTGGGAACCACTGGTTTCATTCTTAAAGCAGATTTCTTTTTTCTGGGCTCCTCTCTTTTCCCTCCCAATCTCCTTACTCTCAATCATGACATTTTGAAACCTACTATGCACTAGAACTTACAGTAGGTGGTCAGAAAGAGAGAAAACAAAGTTTAAAAGCTAGCAGTAGCGCAATCTCGAAAGCCAAGAGTACTATGAAGAAGAAATGACAGGAAAAACAAAATGGTATTATCTTGAAATTTCAGTATTTCTAATGATTAATTTTTTTAAAAAATTGTCATGAAGCAAGATTTTGGGAGAGAAATGTCAATGCTTGCTAGCAGAACCATAGCCAGAAAACAATAGGGGGAGGGTTGAATTTTTTTTATCGAATCATGAAGAGCAGTTCCATAACATAAAATAATGTAAATAGTATGATTAATTCTATATTTTATATAGAAGTAATTAAATCAATTTTCTGGTCTCCTTCATGGGGGGCTTCAAATCCCTCCTATGCCTTAGGCTTTGCCTGCCAGTTATGGGTCGGCCAACTTGGTTGCTTCCATTATATCAGCTATTGCTGCAAGTAATGAGACTGAATAAATTGTCCAAATTTGCTAGTGATAGTGCTTGCAGTTCTGGAGGGACTTGTTTAATTTTTGCTTCTCATAGACTTAGCGTGGGGATTTGGTTAACCAGTTAAAATTCATGAGTAAACCAAGTTGTTTCGGGGTTTTTTGGTGAACTGAAAAATTGAACCCTTAACACCCTAACCCCACCCCTACCTCTGCTACAGCCCTGCTTACTAGAAACACTCATTACTCCATGTTACTTAAGTGGTTCAACACAGGAAAATTTAACAGATCCCATGGAAACCCCCATGCCAGGTGTCACCATAAGTCAATCAACCTGAAACATAGAGAATCACAGAAAAACAGAGTTGGAAAAGAAAATACATGAACCCAAAGAAATATATGGCCCCAAAAACCATGAGGGCATCCAGTCCATCCCTTGTTTTGCACATAACTATCTGAGCGGTACCTATTGATCTACTCACATCTGCATCTTTTCAAACTGCTAGGTTGGCAGAAGCTGGGGCTGACAATAGAAGCTCACGCCGCTCCTAGATATTAACCTGCGGCCTTTCAGTCAAAAAGTTTAGCAGCTCAGCAGTTTAACCCACTGCGCCACCCCGAAGTGACAAAATGTTAGAGATTTTGTACTCTACCGAGGTATCAGCACACTTTGGCAGAGAAGGCAAAAGACCTTGGAAAACTACAATTCCCAGGATTTCACAGAATTGAGCCATAGCAGTTAAAGGAGTGTCAAACTACATTAATTCTACAGGGTAGATGCATCCAAAACCGAAGTGCAAGCATTGAAACTGGGGAGATTCTGAAGCAAGAATTATGCACACACCTGGCTAGTCTTGAATAACATAAAACAGATTAAAAAGCCACAGTGTCTACGCAGATTCTAGTTCACTGTGTGCTGGCCTAGTTCTGTATGTTCTGACACAGTGAGAACTACTGTGGGAGGGGACTTGTGCCTTGATCAACCGTGGGCTGTGTATGACACTATGCTGCTACTGGGGCCTGTACATGCTATAATGGTAGGTCCAAGCATCCTGAACATTGTAACTCAAGCTTGTGTGACACTTGTTTTAGTGATTTCCAAATTCACAATCACAGTGATCTCCAGTTTCTCTTTTAAATTCCAATTCTTGTTGCTTTTAGGATTATAGAAGCTGTTAAAATGTGCTGTTACCGAAGATTTGCCAGTGACAGTGCTGCCTAATTGATTTAACTAAACCTATTTCATTATAATTCCTCTTTGATACTGGAGTTGCTTCACCATGATCATCAACAAGCTTTATGGGGAAATGAACAAGCAGTGCTGCCAGCTTTAATGAACAGGACCCATTTCAGTCTTTATTGCATTACTAGGTTTGGTACAGAAATCACCTTCGCCACAACAAGCAACAAGCTTTATTTGGAAATTAACAGGAAAACTGTGTTGCAAAAGAAATGGGAGGAAGTCACTCCACAAATCCAAAATACAAACGAATTCATCACAATCTTTGACTGAACTACTTTGACTACTATTGCTTATCTTGTTGGTGTTTTTTCACTAAGGTTTATAATTTAGAATAGGAAGCATTTAAAGGTATTTTAAAACATGATGAAAAATTATAGAAAGCAGGTTTTAAAGAAAAAGTCCAGTTAGAAGAGTGAAAAACAATACAGCAACTGTGTTGTCAAAGGCTTCCATGACTGGAATCACTGGTTTGCTGTGAGTTTTCCGGGCTGTATGGCCATGTTCCAGAAGCATTCTCTTCTGACGTTTTGCCCACATCTATGGTAGGCATCCTCAGAGGTTGAGGGGTCTGTTGGAAACTAGGCAAGACAGGTTTATATATCTGTGAAATGTCCAAGGTCGGAGAAATAACGCTTTGTCTGTTTGAGGCAAGTGTGAATGTTGCAATTGGCCACCTTGATGAGAAACACTGAAAAAATAGGGGAATTCCAGATGGGAAACAATCAGGACCAGCTAACACCTCCCCAACAAAGGATTCCCCCAGACAGGAAGCAGCCAGGCTTTGAAGCTGTAAGGCCATTCAATTCTAATCAAGGTGGCCAATTGCAATATTCATACTTGCCTCAAGCAGACGAGTTAAGGTGGGGTCAAACTGCATTATTTCTACAGTGCAGATACTCCCTTAGCCAGTACATTTATCTTGAATACTAAATATAATAATTGTATTAATAATATTAATTCTACAGTGTAGGTAAAGACTTTCCCCTTTAAGTCTAGTCATATCCAACTCTGGGGGGTGGTGCTCATCTCCATTTCTAAGCCGAAGAGCCAGCGTTGTCCGTAGACACCACCAAGGTTATGTAGCTAGCATGACTGCATGGAGCGCTGTTACCTCCCTGCTGGAGCGGTATCTATTGATCTACTCACATTTGCATGCTATCAAACTGCTAGGTTAGCAGAAGCTGGGGCTAACAATGGGAGCTCACCCCACTCCCCATATTCTAACCGCCGATCTTTCAGTCAGCAAGTTCAGCAGCTCAGTGGTTTAACTTGCTGCACCACTGGGGGTTCCTATCTACAGTGTAGATGCTCTTAATACCTTGATACTGAATAATAAATATGAATTTAACAATGATGTATTATTTCTACAGTGTAAATGCACCCTTCAGTCCTTTTGTCATAATAATAATTAAACAGTATACCTTTATACCTTTAAACAGTTCATTTATCTTGAATACTAAATATAATAATGCATTAATTATAGAGTGTAGAAGATGCACGCTTAGTCAATATATCTATGTTGAATAAATAATAAGAATTATTTATTTATTTGTCATATCAGGAGCATACCAAGGGTACAATTGTAATCTATTTTAAAAACAATAAAAAAACACAAAGTTTGAAAACTTGGTGTTATATTAAATGTTCTTTGACCAGAAGCTGGACATTTGCAGTGCCTCTGGTATTGCTATAAGAAGGTCCTCCATTGTGCATGTGGTAGGGCTCAGACTGCATTGTAGTAAGTGGTCTGTGGTTTGCTCTTCTCCACACTCGCATGTTGCGGACTCCACTTTGTAGCCCCATTTCTTAAGGTTGGCTTTGAATCTCGTGGTGCCAGAGTGCAGTCTGTTCAGTGCCTTCCAAGTCACCCAGTCTTCTGTGTGCCCAGGAGGAAGTCTCTCATTTGGTACCAGCCATTGATTGAGGTTCCGGGTTTTAGCCTGCCACTTTTGGACTCTTGCTTGCTTCCAAGTGTCTCTATAGATCTTTGATTTAAGGCATTGGCGTGCTGGCTGATATCTGAACAGCGGATGGGCCAGAGATGTCACTGCCTTGGTCCTTTCACTAAGAATAATGTATAAAATGTCACTGCCTTGGTCCTTTCATTTAGAATAATGATCATGCATTGTTGCTACACTGATGCACCCCTAGACTTTAATTCTCAGAAGCGCTAGGAATTCTGGGAGTTGAAATCCAAAACACCTGAAGAACTACAGTTGAGAACTCACTGAGCTTACTTAACAGGAGAAACTCTATATTGTTGAAGGCTTTCATGGCTGGAATCACTGGCTTGTTGTAGGTTTTTCAGGCTGTGTGGCCATGTTCTAGAAGCATTCTCTCCTGACATTTTGCCTGCATCTGTGGGAAGCATCCTCAGGTTGTGAGGTTTGTTGGAAACTAGAAAGATTGGGTTTATATATATCTGTGGCAGGTCCAGGATGGGAGAAAGAACTCTTGTCTGTTGGAGCTAGGGGTGAATGTTTCAATTGACCACCTTGATTAGCATTTGATGGCCTGGCAGTTTTTAGGTGTGGCTTGTTACTGCCTGGGGAATTCTTTGTTGAGAGGTGATTAGCTATTCCTAATTGTTTCTTGTCTGGAGTTCCCCTGTGTTTGAGTTTTGTTCTTTATTTACTGTTATAGGAGAAACTCTGTTTTTCTATTTATTGTTATAGAAAAAACTCTGTTTTTTTATTTACTGTTATAGGAGAAAATCTTGTTTTCGGAATGTTAGCCGGGCAGTAGGCTCCGCCCTCAGAACGAACACGAGCCAATAGGAGATTGCGACTCGGAAGAGGCTCCGCCCCTTTCCCCGCCCCAACTCCTCCTCGCGCCACTCGGAGCCCTCCCTGCAGTCATTGAGACTTGGTCTCAGGAGCAGCAGCAGCAGCAGCAGTAGCAGAGCCATGGCTTCAGTCAAGGAGAAGGCGGCAGCTTTGAATCTCTGCGCCATATACAGCCCGGCCAACAAGCCTTCAGGTAAAGTTCCGTAGGATTAATACAGCTTGACACCACTTAACTGCCGTGGCTTGGTGCTGTTGTAGTTTGAGGAGTTGTAGTTTGACCTAGGTCTGAAGGTTTTTCTGCCAGAGAGTTCTGGGGTCCCACCAAAGTACAATTCCAATGGTTGCATGGCACTGTAGAATTAATTCATCATCATTATTATTATATTTATTACTAGCCTGCCACGCATTGCTGTGGCCCAATCTGTATATGTGTTTTGTGTGTGTATATGTGTGTCTGTATATTTGTGTATATATGTACACAGAGTTGGACACAGCTGGACTTAATGTCGGGGGAAAACTTTTACCTGTGTGTATATATGTGTGTTTGCATATATATATACACACATGCAAACACACATATATACACATAGGTTTTCCCCTGACATTAAGTTCAGTTATGTCCAACTCTGGGGGTTGGTTCTCATTTCCATATGTTTATATACACAAAAACACAGCAGAAGAGACTTAAAAAGCCAAAAAACAAAAATTACAGTACAACGCATGTGCATATACCCCATATGCTGTGTTTTCAGTGTTTTTGAGAGTGATGGTCACTCATTGGCCTGATAGGTGTGTTGTGTCCAAATTTGGTGTCAGTTCGTCCAATGGTTTTTGAGTTATGTTAATCCCACAAACGAACATTAAAAATGTATTTATATAGATTATGAAACATAAGTAACATAGCATAACTCAGTAAGGGTGCACCTGAACTGTAGAAATAATGTTGAGGCTGGCCAATCAAAAATCATATGCAAATTAGTAGGTCGAGATAGTTCATGCATGGGCAAACTTGGGCCCTCCCTCTAGGTGTTTTGGACTTCAACTCCCACCATTCCTAACAGCCTCAGGCCTTTTCCTTTTCCCTCTCAGCTGCTTAAGGAAAAGGCCTGAGGCTGTTAGGAATGGTGGGAGTTGAAGTCCAAAACACTTGAAGGGCCCAAGTTTGCCCATGCCTGCTCTAGAGGTAAGTAGCTTTATCTATTTGGAGGACATATGTGGCACTGCCTGTTGGCTTTGCTCCGGTCTCAGTGGGTTCGGTGTCTGTGACAAGGACCCATAGTGGCACAAATGGGTTAAACCCTTGTACCGGCTGAACTGCTGACCCGAAGGTCGGCAGTTTGAATCCACGAGAGGTGAGCTCCCATCTGTCAGCCCCAGCTTCCCATGCAAGGACATGAGAGAAGCCTCTGACAAGGTGGTAAAACATCCAGGCGTCCCCTGGGCAACGTCCTTGCAGATGGCCAATTCTCTCACACCAGAAGTGACTTGCAGTTTCTCAAAAAAGTGTCTGTGTACCCATGCAGTTATTGCCCTGACATGGCCTTGCCCTTGGGACCGTCCTCCACTTTCCCTCCCACTTCTATGTTGGCGTTTTCCTGACCTTTCCACTAGGCAGGCTGGCCTCCTAGTTGGCTGCGCCTCTTATTGACTTTATTGCAATGTTTGGCTGCAGTTTTCTCTCCATTCTTGTTCACACAAGAAGAAAAAGTTCTGCAAAAGGATATATTCTGACTTTTTATCCCCCAGCATTTCTGCCTTTAAGAAATCCTTCCTCTTTTCAAAGGCAACAGGTGGTTTATTGGTTGCTCTTTTTCCCCATACTTGAGCAACTCACCCAAAGTTGCTAATGGCCTGAGGCAGCCAAAGGTTAACCTGCAGGTTGCCTGTCTTCCTTATGCGGTATTTGCTGTCGCCTGTAAAACCAAAACACGGCATTAACAAATTGCTGTTTACAGTACACACAAAAAAGCATTTTTTTTCTTTTGGAAACTTCAGGTGCTGGGAATCACTTTGGACTTTTTATTATTGGAGATGCAATTCTTTTCTTTCAGTTTGGAAATCTGCCGGAGAATTTCCTTCTAGGCTGCATCTACACTGTAGAATTAATGCGCTTCCACATCATTTTAACTGCCATTGCTAATGCTACGGAGTCATAATAATAACAACACTTTATTTATATTCCGCCCTTCTCCCTGAGGGGACTCAGGGCAGATTACAGTATATAAACAGACATAGGCAAACATTCAATGCTTTGTTACAATGACAAACATGCAGACAAAGGCTTCTCCTTTCATTTCTGGTGCTGGAGGCGGTTTTCATCTCTGGCTCTGGGAGAGGCGCGCTTTCTCCATTTCCAAGCCGAGGAGCCTGCGTCCATAGACATCGCCTGGTCATATGGCTGGCATGACTGCTTGGAGCATCTTTTGCCTTTTCCTGCCAAAGCTGTACCTATTGATCTACTCATATTTGCATGTTCTCAAACTGCTAGGTTGGCAGGAGCTAGGCCTAACAGTGGGAGCTCACCCCATCCCACGGATTTGAACTGCCAACCTGCAGTTCAACAGTACAAGGGTTTAACCCATTGCTCCACCACCACAACCCCAACTCATGGGAATTGTAGTTCTACAAGGTTATTATTATTATTATTATTATTATTATTATTATTATTATTATTTACTGGTATGTCAGCAAACTCCAGCTCCCAGGATTCCATAGCATTGAATCATGGAAGTTAATATGATGTCAAACTGCATTAATTCTATGTGTAGATGCACTATTAGGCATGTTTGGGTTTATTAGATATTAATGGTAAGAAAAACAGTAGTGCTTAGTTAATTGTAGAGCAGTTACTGTATAAAAGTTGGAAATGAAATTATCTTTCATTTAAGTAGAATTTGCTGTGGCATATTAGTTTTCCAGGCCTGATTTTCACAGTATGGAGAGCTCCCAATTAAGCATTTCAAGGAGAGCCTTTATATGTTCCACCCTGGTGTCCCAGCGTTCATTAGGCATCATAAATTGTGGTCATAACAAATTAAATGAGAGTCTGTGCTAGATATGTATGTCAAAGGTATTTGTTTTAATAATAAAAATCCATCTTACAATATATGATTTTGATATAAAAGGTATAAATAGGGATTTCAACAGGTGGTTTTCCTCTTCCTGAAGCTAAAGGACACCAGGGCCTCTCATGATCTCTTGCCTTTGGCTATGTTAGGCAAGACTACTGGGAGCTTGAGTCCAACATATCTGGAGGTCATCAAGGTTGGAGGAAATTGCTGTCCTCTGGTGACTACTCTCCAAAGCCTTGGGTAGTCAGAATGAGCCCTGACATTTATCACAGTTTCTCAGCTTCAATGACAATTGCATTTTCTGAATATTATACAGAAAGTTCTGAGCACCTGTACTCCGCACCTGTTTTTTCTCTTAATATTACATTTTTTTAAAGTGTATATAACGGTTGTAAGAAAAAGCTGATTTGGCATTTTTTACATTTTGATAGTGGATTCTTGAAGTTGTTATTTGCTCTTACTGGTTGAAAGTTTTGGAAGCTGTAATCCCACAAAAAAAAATTCTAAGCTCTGCAGTAAAGTATAGTACTTAAAAATACATAACATGTATAGGCAGGCACCTATGTGTGTGCCTTTTGCCAATTAATCTAATCTTGTTTCAATACAGCACACAGCTATGTAAAGAAAATATCTAGCTCTATATCAGTTTGGTGTAGCAGTAATATAACAAAATAGTTATCTGGATATCAATATGGTGTAGCAGACGGAGAGTTGGTGAAGGACTCAGAGGACCAGGAAGTCACAAACTCAATCCAAGAAGAAGGCAGTAGGAAGCCTCCTTTGAACTCTAAAATCAGGACAGTAAATAAAGAGCAACACTAAAAAAAACAGGGGAAATCAAGACAAGAATAATCAGGGCCAGCTAATCACCTCCCAACAAAGGATCCCCCAGTCAGCTACCAGCCAGGCTTTGAAGCTGCAAGGCCAATCAATATTAATCAAGGTGGCTAATTGCAAAATTCACACTTGTCTCAAGCAGACAAGAATTGTTTCTCCCACTCTGGACATTCCACAGATATATATACACCTCATTTTCCTAGTTTCAAACAGACTTCACAACCTCTGAGGATGCCTGCCATAGGTGTGGGTAAAACGTCAGGAGAGAATGCTTCTGGAACATGGCCACACAACCCGGAAAACTCACAGCAACCCACTGCTTTCAAAAGTTTTTGGCAAACAGACTATAGTAGATTCACCATAAGTCAGAGTCAGCTTTAAGGCACGTAACAATAATACTTCAGTCTGGGGTAGAAAATATTTTGCTGTTTATATGCTGATGAGCTGCTGCTCCCATTATGTCTGGTCATTAATCAGGAGACCTAGGAATGATGGAAATCAGAATTCAGTAACTTCTGGTTCCTTGATCCTGCTGTAGTCATTTATCCACAAAGTACTTGGCACTGCAACAACTCCTAAGTACTTGTCTAAAATCGAATTTCGTGCAGTGGAATTAAACACAACATTGTTTTTATGAGCAACTTCAGAAATGATGCTAGAAAATGCCACTCATAAAGGAGGGCTGAGACTTTCATGGCCAACTAATATTTCTTTCATAACTCATGCATATATTTGGAAGTGATTAAAAACAAGTTGGGTAAGTCTGTAATAAGCTTGGAAAACTGAACATATATTTGGCAATAATTCACCTGCATTGCTTGTCTAGGTTTCAGCTTGGCACAGAGACCATTCGGAGCCACATATGTCTGGAGCAGCATTATCAACGCAATTCAGACTCAAGTTGAAGTGAAAAAGCGGCGTCAAAACCTGAAGAGCTATAATGACTGTTTTATTGGTTCTGATGCCGTGGACATTGTCTATGCCCACCTTCTCCAGAACAAATACTTTGGTAATGTAGATATTTCACGAACTAAAGTTGTAAGAGTGTGTCAAGTATTGATGGACCACAAAGTGTTTGAGGCTGTTTCTACCCGAGTCTTTGGAAAAGACAAACGATCAGTGTTTGAGGACAGCAGCAGCAGCCTCTACAGGTTCCCCGGTGCTGCCAACCAAATGGACAGCCCCTTTAGAAAAGAGTGTGACTATCTTATACGTCAAAGGTCAGTTCCAAATGGAGTATAGAAGAATGGGATGTTGCATTTTCCCTGTTATCTGTTATTGTTGTGCACCATTTCCAACTTGTGGAGAGAAATCTAGTATGGTTTGATCTTGGCAAGATGTGTTTAGAGGCCTTCCTCTAAGGCTGAGAGAGAGAGTGACTTGCTCAAGGTCACCCAGTGGTTTCCATGGCTGAGCAAGCATTCAAACCCTGATCTCCCCAAGTCATAGTCCAATCTTCAAACCACTACACCATATACTCATCTTACTCTATTCATACAAGAACAAATACAGATTTGTAACTCTGATTTGCCATTTACATAGTAAGGGATTTTGGAGGCAGCTGCAGTTTATCTTGCATGTTGTAGACAACAACACCTAGTTGAAAGAGAATCAACTGGAGTAAATCCCTTCTTTTCCGGCTTAAGCTGTATTGCATTCTTTAGTGCAAACAAGAAAAGCCTGTGTTTCTTCAGCCTTCTGATGTCAATATTGTTAAACAATTAAACAGGTATGAAAATACTTTGTCAAAAAGTATTTCTTTATCAGAGGCTTTGTTAACAGAAGCATGCCTGTAGCAGGTTTCCAAACCAAACTCCAGGTTCTAGACCTCATTCGTAGGGCCACCAGCAACTCTCTGAGAGCACTTCTTGGCTAAAGCATGCTACCAATGCTTCTTGACCAACTCCAGGAAATCTCAAAGAATAGGGGTACTCTATAGATAATACTGGGACATTAATTGCCCATGTTTTCATATAAGCCATATAGATATAGCTTATAGCTTCATTTCTCCCCTCATTATAGTGAGCTTGCACTCTCACTGACTCTGATAGTCAAGCAGACTATCTTTTTTTTCTTCTTCATAGTCTGAGCCCCTCACTGGCGCAGTGCGTTAAACCATATGGCTTATATGAGCTGCTGAAGTTGTTGACCGAAAGATCAATGGTTTGAATGTGGCAAGTGGGGTGTGCTCTCGTTGCTAGCCCCAGCTTCTGCCAACCTAGCAGTTCGAAAACATGCAAATGTGAGTAGATCAATAGGTACCGCTCTGGCGGGAAGGTAAAAGCGCTCCATGCTGGCCACTTGACCTTGTAGGCGTCTGAGGACAACGCCGGCTCTTCGGCTTAGAAATTGAGATGAGCACCACACCCAGAGTTGGACACAACTAGACTTAATGTCAAGGGGAAACTTTTCCCTGTTTTTACAGCCTTCATCCCAAAATGTAAGAAGTCAGTAAGCCATCAGCAGGACCAATTATAGAAGATGACTGTAGAAGTCTCTCTGTGATTACAGCTGTGGGTTCAGGTGTAGTCAGAAAACGTAATAATAGAGTTGGAAAGAATTTCAAGGGATATCTAGCATATTATTATTTGAGAACACAGAAATGCTGGACCACTCGGCTCGCCTCTCCTCCCGAGGGCCCGGCCTCTTTGGCAACATGTCGGTGGTGGGCATCGACCTCGGCTTCCAGAGCTGCTATGTGGCGGTGGCCCGGGCGGGGGGCATTGAGACCATCGCCAATGAATACAGCGACCGCTGCACCCCGTCATGTATATCCTTTGGACCTAAGAATCTAACAACTACTCTAACAACTCTACAATGTCAGATTACGCAAAGAAGCCATTGAAATCCACAAGCATGTGGACAATTTCAACAGAAATAAGAAAACCATGAAAATGAACAAAATCTGAATACCAGTATTAAAAACTCTAAAATCAGAACAGTAAATAAAGAGCAAGACTCAAAAAGCAGGGAAATTCCAGACAAGAATCAATCAGGGCCAGCTAACACCTCCCAACAAAGGATTTCCCCAGGCAGCAACCAGCCAGGCCTTGAAATTGCAGACCATTGAATGCTAATCAAGGTGGCCAATTGCAATATTCACATGTACCTCTAGCAGACAAGAGTTCTTTCTCCCACCCTGGACTTTCTACAAATATATAAACTTCACTTACTTAATTTCCAACATCTATGGATGCCTGCCATAGATGTGGGTGAAATGTCAGGAGAGAATGCTTCTGGAACATGGCCATACAGCCTGGAAAACTCACAGCAACTCAGATATCTAGTCTACTTCGTACTAGTGCATGAATCTAAATCTAAAGGAATGGCTATCTGACTGGTGCTTAAAAACATCTAATGAATTCCATCACATTCTCTGATTGGCTATTCCACTGCCAAGCAATTCTTACTTTTCTAATGCTCAGTTGGATTCTCTCTCTTTTTTTTTTTTGTAGTTTGAATCTATAGGTTTGGGTAGCCTCCACTGAACAACAGCAAATGAGTTCACTCTGTCTACTACATAACAGCCCGTCAAATATTTAAAGGCGACTAGCACATCACCTCCCATTTGCCACTTCTCATGATCCTAGCCTTCTGTTTTTCATGTTGTCATGGGGGCTTCCCACAAACCCCAACCAGTGTGGCCTCTGGTAAGGGATTTCGGGGTTGTTTTTCTAAAAAACGTCTGAAGGGACAAAAGTGTCCTGAGGCCTGTGTGAAACGTTAAGGTCTGCAGTGTTGCTGCAAGGCAGGAGGAAGGGGATAAAAGCAGACTTAACTGGGCTGTGCTTACTATTGACTTTGGCTTTGCATTCTCTAAGCCGCTCTACCCTGTCAGTCCAAATGGGTACCAACTTCCACCAAGCATAATCCTAAGCACACTTCCTAGGAATTAAGTTATGTAACAAGGGTGGGGAACCTCCTGTAGTCTAAGGATTTGACTTACATTTCAGAGACATTCCTATGGACTTCATCACCATGTCAGTGAAAGGCCAAGGACATGTGGGCAGGACCAAAGCTTTACCGTAAAGTATTTCTTGTTAATATATGAACTTTAGGAGAGCAGCAGTATAAGCTTTGTAGCCTCAAACCAGACCTCAGGAGGCAAGGCTTGGCCCAAAGAGCTGAGTCCTTATTCCCATACTGTAGACTTCGTTGTGATGTTCTACTAGGTTTTTAAGACTATTGTCTTGCAGCTAGATGTGCAGGTTTACTCAGAATTAAGGCTCATATGTTGCCTTGGGTATGTTGGTACTTGCAGCTTTTTGTTTCTGGAAAACTTTGGAATGGTCCTAAAGCCAGTGGATTTTGTAGTTCTAAGAGTTGGCTGCCATCCCTAGAGCTGTATATACAGTTTAGAAAAGAGCTGAGGTTGGAGAAGAGGCAAAGCTGTGAGCATAAGCAACCGCAGGAAGATTTGTGTTCTTGCAGAACTCAGTGTGGATTTTGCTCAGTGGCGTCAATGTAACTACTCAGCAAAGCAAAATGAAGCTTCTACCCCTTTATATAATATTTGTTTTTATTTGATTGGGTCTAAGGGGTTCACAAGGACAGAATTCCAATTTTTTCTTAAGGTAAAGGTTTTCCCCTGACTTTAAGTCCAGCCGTGTCCCACTCTGGGGGTTGGTGCTCATCTCCATTTCATCTCCATTTCTAAGAGCCGGCGTTGTCCGCAGACACCTCCAAGGTCATGTGGCCAGCATGACTACATGGAGCGCCATTACCTTCCCACAGAAGCGGTACCTATTGATCTATTCACATTTGCATGTTTTCGAACTGCTAGGTTGGCAGAAGCTGGGGCTAACATCGGGAACTCACCCCCGCTCTCCAAATTCAAAACTGCGACCTTTTGGTAAGCAAGTTCATCAGCTCAGCGCTTTAACCCACTGTTCCAGCAGGGGCTTCCCTTTTTCTGAAACTGTGGTTCATTTCCACACTTCATACTTGAAGGGACAAATGGACATATAGCCTTAAATCCCTGGGTTGATATTTTCTATTCTAAAAAACATAAGTATCATCAGTTTTCACAGGGTGATACATAGTCTCAAGTTGGCTTCCCAATTTATGTTGCATTTGCCAGATTTTAGATAGATAGATATAGATATATAAGTAAATAAATGAATAAATTACTTCTAGCACTCTGGATAAAAAGAACTCAGTAAAATCAAACCCAACATGGGATCCTGGGAAGTGTAGTACAAAATAAGTAATTTAGTAAAACAAGAGCTTTAAGATCAGCTGGGGAGGCCCTGCTCTCGGTCCCACATCCTTCGCAAGTGAGACTGGTGGGGGTGAAAGACAGGGTCTTCTCAGTGGTGGCCCCTTGGCTGTGGAACTCCCTCCCCAAAGAGATCAAACAGGCTCCATCCCTCCTGGTCTTTAGAAAAAAAAGCTTAAGACCTGGCTTTGCAAACAGGCGTCTGGTGAATAAGATATTATGGAATTAGACTTCAACAGCCTGAATAATGACTTTGAACTTTGGAAAATGACTCTGGATAAGGATGACATCAAGACTCGACACTTTATATGGTTTTAATCTGTTTTATGGTTTATGTGTTTTCATTGCTCATATGGTTAACTGTTTTATAATTTGATGGGGTTAGGCCGCACAATTCTTATCCCTGTACACGAATGCAGTGTTCTCAACCTGTGGGTCCCCAGGTGTTTTGGCTTACAATTCCCATAAACCCCAGCCAGTTTGCCAGCTATTAGGATTTCTGGGAGTTGAAGGCTAAAACGCCTGGGGACCCACAGGTTGCTAACCACTACAGTAATGGCACTGAACCTGGGAATGCATAACTAGAATGAATGAATGAATGGGTGCAGGATTGTAACAATCTTCCTAAAGCTTAAAAGTGAATAAAGTAAAAGCTGTAGTGGTATTGGGCAACCATGGCTCTCTAAATGGCATTGGATTACAGTTCCCATCACTCCTAGCCAGCAGAGCTAGCACTGATAGCTCATGAGAATTGCAACCCAAATATTTAAGAGTTCACAGTCGCTCCCTCCTGATCTATATAATTTAAATGATTCTCCTTTAGATCTTCAAAAATCTACTTCCATTGGCATAGGCTATTAAATGCCTTCTGCCTTCTGTTTCATTTGATATATTAACGTGGTGCAATTAGAATGTTTTAAACAAAACAAATCTATAATACAGTGGCTAAACTAAGTAGCAAATAGCTGTTGTAGAGAAGTCACATTACAAGCCAGAGTTTATAATTACACCTGGATTTTAGTAGCACTTAAAGATAACTAATTGCCATTGTGTTGCCTGCAATTACGCTCTCGGGTAGAATGCTGTTTTTATGAGCCAAGTTAATGTGGAAAATGGTGCATCTGAGGTCAAGATTTAGTTACATTGAATAATTAAAGTTAAAGAGCAAGGGGTTATTTGAGGATTTTAAATGACTGAAATTAACAGTTCGTTTTTGTCAAATGCCTTTTGAGTATGAATCCAAGCTATACACAAAGATGGAACTTAAGAGTGTGAACTTTTGTACGTGACATAAGAGTTATGATTGATGTGCACCTTCTTTCCAAGTTTCAGTTGAATCCTTCTCATATATCACAAGTAAACTCATTTGGCTCACTGTAGTATGCAAAGGCCTAGATCAGTGGTTCTCAACCTCTGGGTCCCCAAATGTTTTGGCCTTCAACTCCCAGGAATCCTAACAGCTGGTAAACTGAAAGTTGTGGGCCAAAACACCTAGGGACCCACAGGTTGAGAACCACTGGCCTAGATGAATATATTAAATCTCATTCTTGCATGCCTTTCTATTAAAATGCTAATTGGCTGCATTCCAATGTTCACTTACCTTGAGAGTAAGTGCCATTGGATTTAGTAGGACTTCTGCTGTAGTCATGTGCACTCAAGTCAACTCTGACTTATGGAGACCCTGTCCTTGTTTTTTTGTTTTTTCGTTTTTTGAGATTTAGTACCGCCTCTTCTAAGGTCAAGACAGTGTGACCTATCCAAGGTCACATAGTTGTTTCCAAGGCTTTGCAGTGATTTGAAACATGGCTTCTGAGTTTTGGAGCCCCCAGTGGCATAGTGGATTAAACCCTTGTGCTGGCAGGACTGAAGACCGACATGTCGCAGGTTCGAATCTGGGGAGAGTACGGATGAGCTCCCTCTGTCAGCTCCAGCTTCCCATGCGGGGACATGAGAGAAGCCTCCCACAAGGATGGTAAAACATCAAAACATCTGGGCATCCCCTGGGCAACATGCTTGCAGACAGCCAATTTTCTCACACCAAAAGCGACTTGCAGTTTCTCAAGTCGCTCCTGACATGAAAAAAAAAGTTTTGGTACAACACTCAAAACACTAAATCATGCTGGCTCTCTTAGTGGGAATCATTTCTGTATAAATGTACATAGTTCTTTTAGAATAATTATGTGTTAGTATTTTCATTCAAATACATTTCTATATAAGGAAACTCCGTTCTCTCTTACGAAATGGAACCACTGGGGACAAATGAGCTAAAACTGTTTGGTTCTATAGGCTTAGAGCATGTGATTGAGAAATGAATTGAAATACTGATCTTTAAGCAACAAAAGTAACATACAGGATAGAAAAGGGCATCAAAGGTAGCTGAACTATGCCTAGTGTAACCATAGAAATCAGGGCTTATCTTTAAGAAAAACCTGTGAGCTTTTCCAGAGGTGCAGTCATCTAAGGGTACGGACTGCTGGAAGTATCCATTTTCTTCAGACTGTATAGCTGAATGAAATATAAATAAGCCAGGAACCTATTTCTTTTTGGAAGGGCGTTTTATTTATCATCACAATTGCATGGGAGTAATTCCACTTGTGATGCTGTGTTTTTTTCTGTAGTTCAAGAGTTTGCAGAATAATTTTGTGTGTGTGAATTTGAACACTGTGTTAGGAGCCCCCGGTGGTTCAATTAGTTGATCCCTTGGGCCAGCAGGATTGCTGACCGAAAGATTGGTGGTTCAAATCCGGGAAGCGGCGTGAGCTCCCCTCTGTCAGCTCCAGCTTCTCATGTAGGTACATGAGAGAAGCCTCCCACAGGAAGGCAAAGCATCCAGGTGTCCCCTGGGCAACGTCCTTGCAGATCGCCAATTCTCTCACACCAGAAGCGACTTGCAGTTTCTCAAGTAGCTCCTGACACGGAAAAAAAGCCTCAGTGTGTTCTGGTTTATTTAAAGTTAAATAAGTAGAGAACACTGTATACAGATCAAAAAGCACTTCAACTCTGAGTTGAGTGTGGAATTGGGTTCTGTCTGTCTTTATGGGCAATTCAGATGTTTTTAGGCAGGAGTAGGAAATTGCTAGAGTTGGCACATCAACTTTTTTGTGAGACCTGGAATGGTTGTCATCTTGGTTTATGCCCAACTGCATCCCAATTTTCCAAATGGTTCCCATTCTCCATGGAGTGAGAGCAATTTTTCCATGTCCACCACCCCAGGTTGTGCATGGCCTCACAGATTTTAAAAAAATCAAACAGAAGTCTATGCTGATGGGATGTGGGGTGCCATTCTTCCCCACGGTTCACCCCTTGGTACTATACTTCAGTATCCTCAGTCTGGTAGTTCATGTAAAACTAAAGGGTATGGGAAATAGACCTGTTGTTCATCATGGAAATTTGATTCTGATCGTTTGACTAACAAACCTGCATTAGTGGGAAAAAATAGCCATTTAGACTATACAAAACACTTCAAAATCCACATCATTGTTTTTAAGCCAACCAAAATGTGACAACAAATTTGTATCTTGTGGATTCATCTTCCTGTTTCTCATTCCCTTTGGAGTGGGCAAACTTCAGCTAATATTTCACTTCGTCTTTTAATTGGAATAATGTCGAGTTCAAAGTTTTATTTATTCTTGCCTCAGACCAGAAAAAAGGACACTACTTAGCACAACACCTGTGAAGGCAGAGAGCTTGGAGGACCTCTTGGAAGACTTGAGCTTAAAGCCTGTTAATTCCCCTCAAGTAACCACCTCTTCAAGTTTGTCTCGCCAAAGTAAGTGATATCAAGATTTCAGAACTGCTTGTAAACAATGAAAAGAATCGCTGCCTGGTTTTAAACTGTAGGAAACTTGTAAATGTAAGCCCCCCAGCACAATAGCCATTATAAAATAGTGCACGAAATAAAAGGAATACATTGTGTACCATGTTTGCTGAATCAAAACAGATGACTATTGTCTCTCAGGAGAAATTAGTTTGCCAACCTCCGGCAAAGGCCTCAACCAGTGGCTCCATGCCACAAAAAGGAATAAGAGCTTGTGGCACAGCTGAAGAGAAGAGGCAGTGATGGTGTATGGCAGAGGAGGGTAACTGGTACAAAGTGGAAGAGAAGATGGGAGAGGGAGGGAGAAAATGACATGTTTCAAGAGGGGATGGAGAGACATAAGGAATGAAAGCAAAAGCCTTATCTATGACATGATTCCCTTAAAGCCATGACATAAAGGTCAAGATGGGACCTTAAGCATACTGTATGGTAACATCTGGCTCTTTGTTAGCTTAGAGAAGCCTGGCCATGCCTGGGAGATTCCTAAAACTATAGTAAAAGGAATTTTTCAAGCCTTTCCACTGCTGGCATATAGCCCTGACTGACAGCTCGTGAGAACATAGGCTCCTCGATGGAAACAAAGATTCCTACTCCTGTTTATTTCTCCAATCAAGTGTTGATGTGCTCTCTACTTCCTCCATTTATTAAGAGGGAAAACTATCCCAAGTGAATGGAAGGGGTAGAGGGCTGAAAATGTACCACTCCTGACTTGAGCTTGTCATGTGGCATATTAGCCATCAGTGTTGCAAATATTCCAGTTTTTCTGGTTGTATCACAAACATAGCTGGTTAAAACAAGATGGTTCTTATTTTCTGTTGTCACCTCTTTTTTCTGAGCAAGAACATACTCTGGCATTAATAATAATCATCATCATCGTCATCTTTATTTATATCCCGCCACCATCTCCCAAAAGGGACTTGGGTGGCTTACAAGACACTGCAGTGCACTATATAACATAAACGATACATGACCATAAAACATCACATGAAAATTATATAACAACCATTAAGTGCAGAAAATAGTACTGATTAGAAAATATAGGCAGCAGACAAGTTCTTTGTTTTCAGCTGCGGAATCCTTCACTATTTCAAGGGCACTTGAAGCTAAGCGTGCCATTGTTCAGGCTCAGAAGGCTTTAACAAGGCCGCCTTTCTTTTTCCATCCTTATTAGCATGATTTATGTGATTGGATTCTATGTCCAGAAAAGATCATTTCCAGTTTGCACAGGAAAGAATGTAAAGCATTTGGGATATCTTAAAATCCTTGCTGCTAGCTGCATAAATTGCAATTAATTGCTGCTTTCTTTTTATTCTATTGACAGTACGAGAAGTAGGTCCCTTAAGTTATGTCAGTGAAGTATTAAATCTCTTAGGCTAAAAGACAAATACTGAAATGCTGAATTACTTTTTTGATCCTTAAATAACTTCTGCTAACAATCTTGCTATTTTATTTGTGCTCCCTGCCTCAGTTATCAGCGAAGTCTGGAGAGAACAAACAATTGCACGCCTTCTGCAGCTCATAGATCTTCCATTGCTTGACTCTTTGCTCGAATACCAAAAGACAGGAGCAAAGCAGGAGACTCAGTGTAGCAGCATCGCAAACAACTACTTGGATCGAGATATTCTCAAAGCTTTTGGTGACTCTCAGTAAGTACTGACGTGTATGAACAGGAAGGCAAGACAAGGTCCATTTGCTGACTTAGAGAGGGTAGAGCTTTGAGAAAAGGGCTGTTTTAACCAAGGGCATCTTAAACTTTTTTCCATTTACGACCCCTTTTCTTCAAGGAATTTTTTTCGCACCCCGAAGTATATAGTTATATGAAATAGTTATTAAAATTAAACTTCTAATGATAATAAATCAGCATTTGCAAGACTCCTAAACAGGCTGATTTTTCTTTTTATGAAATACAGCTGAAGCATTGTCTCCAGAGTCCACTGCAAACAGAAACCCTCTACTGTTGTCAGTTTTTTTGGGATCGCAATATTGAGCTAACTTGAGGTCAGGGCCCATAGTTTAAGAAACTCTGGTTTGAACTACAGGCCCTTCACGCCGCACAATTATAGCACTATGATTGCACTTTTACTGCTGTCATTCCATCCTATGAAATCCTGAGATTTGCAGTTGAGGGAGGAATAAAAACAGTCTTCAGCCAGAAAGGCTCACCAAACTGCATTTCCCAGGATCCTATAGGATGGTAAAATAATACTATAATTCTGTAGTGTAAAAGGGCCCCAGAAGAATGGTTGTTGGCAAAGGGTATCTTCTTTTCCCCGCACTCAATCTCAGCCTGAATTGTACCTTGATTTCTCTTTGAAAAAAATCAACTACTCGGGATCCAAAATCTAATGCATGCATTGCAATGATGCCTTTATCAGACAAACCAAAAGATGCAAAATTAATCACCCAAGCTTTCAAAGATAACTGGTTTCTTCATTCAGAAAAGATGGTAAAGAAGAATCATGCATCCTTTTCAATGGGTCTAATGCGTCATCCTTTTCAATGGGACATGTTCCTGGGATAGAAGCAACATCCTCATTTCTCCTCCTTTTTAGGGCAGATGAATGGCTATCAGCAGCAATAGACTGCCTGGAGTATCTCCCAGATGTGATGGTGGTTGATGTAAGCCGAAGTTTGCCTGATGGGCCTCACAGAGTCAAGGTTGGGAAGCTGCTGCTGTTTGATACTATTGGAAGATACTATGGCCAAAGGAAGGAGCCACTCTTAAAACATGCGCCTGATATCCACCTTGGAATTGCTGAATTGCTGGGTAAGTCCCCAAAGATTTGAGGAATGCCCAGCAGAAGGCCAAAGACTTAATTGGCTCCCACACCTCTCAGGGCAAAGTGAGTTGTCTTGTCAAATGGGGCCATCCAGAGATAAAGAGGTGATTTCTGTGTTGCCTTGGGCGAAGGAAATAAGCCAAAGTAATAATTGGAAAGGACATCTTAAGATGAAGGAAGGTGGGTTGTGGTCTTTAAGCATGCTCTGAGTGGTCAAGAGGCTGGCATGAAGAAAAACCGGAGTTGGAAGATAGGATCAAAGGTCAGCTTATTAGGTGTCTCATTGTAATGGCTCCTCTGTGATGTAAGGAGTTCTGCTCTCTTCCCAAAGAGTCCTTTGGGTAAATGTGTAGATTGTGACTGGAGACAGAAAGCTTCCTCTGAGGCTAGATAGAAAAACTGATGGCATGATCAAAGTTATGATCAGTTCTGTCGTAATCGGTATCAACTAATTAGATGAATGGTAACAATACCTCTGTCTCATTTGTTCCCCATGGAACGTAATAATAATAAAATAATAAAACTTTATGTCTTGTCCTATCTCCCCAAGGGGACTCAGAGTGGTTTCCAACAAAAGATGGCAAACATTCAATGCCATAATAATAATAATAATAATAATAATAATAATAATAATAATAATAATAATAATCTTTATTTATACCCCACTACCATCTCCCCAAGGGACTCAGTGCGGCTTACATGACGCCGAGCCCAACAATACATCAATACAAGCAATAACAATCACAGTAACAAAGCAATTAAAATAAATCACATACAAAATAGCATCGACATTAAACAAGACACAATTAACTAAACAAAAATAAATAGACAATCCAACCATAGGGAAAAGGTGATGTTTCCTGACCTGGTCAATACTACTAACCATGAGGCATAGTTTCTAAAAGGTCTTTGGAATGTAAACGTACATGGCAAAAAAATTAGGTTAATGGATATTGACAGAGATTCTAAACTGATGTTGCCGAACCTGCTTTTCTTGCATTTCTATCACAGCATTTCTATCTTGATGCTGTTCTTGTTCAAATAAGCTGTGGTTTTGTGCTTGTGGTGTTACCACTAGAAAGCAAAATAACTTGGCCAATTGAGAAGTTTACATATGAACAATCTGCTAGCAATTTGTCAGGATTAATCATTATTTTACAGCGAATGGTTACCTAGAATGCTAATTAGATCTGCAGATATGTTATGGAATGTGACAGGAAACAATTTCAGAAGACTGCAATGTTGCTTATCTTGCTAAGCATCAAATATTTTAGTAAGAAATGGATCAGCAGGTTAGCTGGTGATGATATATTGAGATCATGTACATTAGTTAGCTACTAGTTTCACAAATTTATTCCTTTATCTTTGTGGCATAAAATGTCTCTGCATATACATGTATTCTTCTGCATAATAGGTGTATTTATTTATTTATTTATTTACCTCATTTATATCCTGCCCTTCTCACCCCGAAGGGCACTCAGGGAGGCTCACAGGGCCCTTCCACACAGCCCTGTATCCCAAAATATCAAGACAGAAAATCTCACAATATCTGCTTTGAACTGGGTTGTTTGAGTCCACACTCAGATAATGTAGAATTTTCTGCCTTGATATCCTGGGATATAGGGCTGTTTGGAAGGTTCCACAGTTAGCACCATTACCGGTACTTTTCACCAAAGCTAGAAAAAGTATAAATAAAACTTCCTTTTTTTGTTCTAAACTCTCTAAAATTTTAAGAAACACACTGGAAATTATGATGATTTGGCCTTTTCTCCCCCCCCCCCCCCAATACTGTTTGTTTGCCAAAATAATTTGTATCATATATATTTTTATCAGTATGTTTTTTAATTTATTGTAAGTCACTTTGAGGCCCACACTGGGGAAAAGGCAAGAATGATGACGATTGAGGTACTCTAGTCTGACAGTCTGTTTCTATGCTAGGTTAAGGTAAACGTTGTCCCCTGACATTAAGTCCAGTCGTGTCCGACTCTGGGGGTTGGTGCTCATCTCTATTTCTAAGCCAAAGAGCCGGCGTTGTCCGTAGACACCTTCAAGGTCATATGGCTGGCATGACTGAATGGAACACCATTACCTTCCTATTGATCTACTCACATTTGCATGTTTTAAAACTGCTAGGTTGGCAGAAGCTGGGACTGACATCGGAAGCTCACACCACTCCCCAGAATCGAACCTGAGACATTTTGGTCAACAAGCTCAGCAGCTCAGCGGTTTAATCCACTGCACCACTGGGGGCTCCCTGGTGGCGCAGTGTCTATATGGCACTAGATGTGTATATAAAAGCAAAGGGAAGGACAATTCCCTGCCTGCTCTTTACCTCTAGGAAATAGTACTGAGAGCTGAATTACTTCTTATGCAGAGAGTAGTATATAGCCATCATTCTTTTTTTAATGTCAGGAGTGATAGGAGAAACTGCAAGTTGCTTCTGGTGTGAGAGAATTGGCTGTCTGCAAGGACATTGCCCAGGGGATGCCCGGATGTTTTACCATCCTGTGAGAGGCTTCTCTCATGTCCCCGCATGGGAAACTTAAGCTAACAGATGGGAGATCACCCCACTCCCCTTTCAGTCAGCAGTTCAGCTGGCACAAGGGTTTAACTCATTGCGCCACTGGGGGCGCCTTTGCTGCTGCTGTTGTCCCTTTAGTTCAAAATGCACATGGCAACATTCAGTACATCAAATGTCTATTCATCATAAATAAGTATCACCACAGAATAAAAGTCCATTCATCTTTACACGTAAAAAGAAGTGGGGCCTGTGTAGGATCTGATCAAAAGGGAAGGGGGAAAGAGGCTGCTTTCAATGGCTATCTATTCCAGATTTCTATATGACTATCTACATTCTTCAGCAAGCAACTGTTTTCTCACATTCAATTTACGGGGTGAAAACTTTTCTTTTAAAATGTTCATGCTGGAGCTTAGTGGTAGCATGTTTTACTACCCAACTTCACAAGTCTGTGGTGGTGTACTTGTTGGCATTTCAGCAGAAATGCAATACAAAGTTTGTGTTCTGCCTAAACTGCATCATTTTTTGGTTTGGTTTGGTTTCTTCCAGTGAATGGAAAGGCTGATCAAGCTCTGGAAGCCATTCAGCTCTACTTGAAGTTATTAGATAGTCCAACAAGAGAGGAATTTCGGAGGCTCATTTATTTCATGGCTGTTATGGCCCAGAATTCTGAGCTTAAGCTGCAGTCAGAGGCAAGTATCACCCCTTGAACACGAAAACAGGGCTCTGAAGGAAGGTCCCTTGGACGTGGAAGGGGCTTTCAGGGTCAAGCCAGGGAGGTTTCTAATGCAGTTTTTAGTGGTTTGGATGTTACTGGGACATAGCTCCTTCCTCTATCCATTATTAATGGCAGGACTGTTAAATATTAGGTTGGAAGGTACTTTTAGGGTCTTATTCTTTTGCAAATTTAATTCTGTAATTAGAATAAATTTCCCTTATTTCATGTAACGTGTTCTTGTGTGCCTTCAAATTGTTTCCCATCTAAGGTGACATGGATTTCTTGGAAAAGTTTGTTCAGAAGAGGTTTTTAAGACTACTGAAAACTACAAACAGCCCTCCAGATTTTGTAGATTTGAGTATTATGGTCTCTCTTGCAATCCCTATATAATTCATTGTGACTCTGTAGTCAACTTCCAGCAGAAATTGTAGTGGAGGACCTAGAGATTCTTGAAAAGCTATTCATTTAATTTTTTTTAAAAAAAATTTGCAGTTATCTCACATTTCCTGTGATCCTGTGCCTCTAACTCCAGTGAATGTGGAGGACTAGCTATATTAATTAACTAGTTAGTTTTCTGTGTTTCAAAATGAGTATGATTGTTGGGTGGCTGTGGCAAATGGAATCCCAGTGCAGCACTAACTTTCATTCATTGCTCTCCATCCCCTTCATCTTTAGAGTGATAACCGGATGGTTGTGAAAAGAACTTTCTCTAAAGCTATCATCGACAACAAAAATTTGTCTAAAGGAAAAACAGACCTTCTGGTTTTGTTTCTGGTGGACTACCAAAAAGATGTCTTAAAGGTAAGTGCCTGAAAATCTTTCCTCTGCCCCAGATTGTTATTCAGTCATTTTTGAGCTGCCAGTAACTGACATCGATTATTTTTCTTCATTCAAGATTCCAGGGACACTGCACAAAATGGTTAGTGACAAGCTTGTAGCCATTCAGCAAGGGAAAGATGCCAACCGCAATACAGGTAACCATTGTCGGCTTTCTTGGCTTGAATCACTGGGTTGTTGTAGGTTTTTTGGGCTGTATGGTCATGTTCTAGAAGCAATGCTAGAACATGGTCATACAGCCTGAAAAACCTACAACAACCCAGATAATCATTATTTTTATACTCCCTTAGTAACTTTGAGAACCAGCTCATGTACATACCGGACCACTTTGAGCACAATCTACTTTATTTATATACCGCCCTCCCCAAGAGGACTCAGGGTGGTTTCCAAAGTAAGGCAAAACATTCATTGCCAGAAAGGAAAACTGTGCAACAAAATTAAATATCATAAAATATAAACATAAAATCCTACTAAAACAATAACAAAAATGGAACACAATGAACCATAAATAAACTTCTTGATTTGCATTGTTTGATACTTATACAGATATCCACCTATTGTAAGGAGATAAATTAACCAATCTAATACATAACTGTGGGGCTAATGAAATCTCAGTAGAGCAGAGGTGTTTGGTTGGTGATGCATTGGATCCATCAAATATGATTCTATTTAAAACCGTAATATTGATGAAGTTTGGGTAATGGGATATACAGACTGCATTAGCCTCTTGTTCACTTTTGTGGGCCCTGGTGCACACTTCAATTTGTTTTTGTTTGGGTTTTTTTCGTGTCAGGAGCAACTTGAGAAACTGCAAGTTGCTTCTGGTGTGAGAGAATTGGCCGTCTGCAAAGACGTTGCCCAGGGGACACCCAGATGTTTTACCATCCTTGTGGGAGGCTCCCCAGATTCAAACCGCTGACCTTTCAGTAAGCAGTCCTGCTGGCACAAGGATTTAACCCATTTCACTACCGGGGCTCCTCAGAATTACTTTATCAAAAATTGGCAGTAGTAAATTCCCACTTCTCCAGAATAGGATGATCTGTTCTCCTGCTTTTTGCGGTGTTCTACCCTCTGGACTTCCCTCTGGTGGGAAGTCATGAAGCTAATAGGTTGGATTTTAGGTAAGATAATCAGTCTTTATTAATAGTCCTTCAAATAAAGGTACTCATGGGCCTTCGTCTTAATGTTTTATCATGGAGATTGTTGATATGCGAATGCAGCATGAGCACTTAGGAAAAGCTCTGTAGAAATAATAAGAGTTACTACTAGGCTTCTGTGAATGCTTTTTCATGTTTACTTTAGGATATACTTTCTGCCAGCGGCTTGATGAAAGTGAATATACGAACAGTGCTAAGAAGACTACAAAAAAGGAACTTGTGTGTCTGCTAAAAACAATTGATGGAGATTCCAGTCTTCCTGCCAAAGAACGAAAGAAGTTGCTGGATCAGTTCTATGCTAGTAACCCAACTATCTTTTTGCAGTATTTTGGTGAGAGATGTTCTGATGAAGTTTTCTAATTTTAGACCTGTTAGGAATGATCAATGCTCTTTTGAAACATGTATCTTTTAGGAGATTTTTTGTACTTAAATAAACTTGTTTTGTAAATATTGGTGGAATCCACCTGAAATAACATTATTTTTAAAAATAATTAAAGTTGTTGATACATATTGTCATTGAGAAATATGCTCAATTCTGTTTATTTAAAAGAAAAACAAGTGAGAAGAGAAATCATAGAATCATGGAAGAGTTGGAAGAGGCCATCCTGTCCAACCCCCTGCCAAGAAGCAGGAAAATCGCATTCAAAGCACCCCTGAAAGATGGCCGTCCATCCTCTGCTTAAAGGCATCCAAAGAAGTAGCCTCCACCAAACTCCAGGGCAGAGAGTTCCACTGCTGAACAGCTCTCAAGTCAGGAAGTTCTTCCTAGTGTTCAGATGGAATCTCCTTTCTTGTAGTTTGAAGCCATTGTTCTGCATCCTAGTCTCCAAGGCAACAGAAAACAAGCTTGCTCCCTCCTCCCTATGACTTCCTCTCACATGTTTATACATGGCCTCCTCTCAGCCTTCTATTCTTCAGGCTAAACAAGCCCAGTTCTTTAAGCCGCTCCTCATAGGGCTTGTTGTTCAGACCCTTATTCATTTTAGTTGCCCACCTCTGAACACATTCCAGCCTGTCAACATCTCCCTTAAATTGCGGCGCCCAGAATTGGACACAATATTCCAGGTGTGGTCTATCCAAGGCAGAATAGAGGGGTAACATGACTTCCCTCAATCCAGACACTATATTCGTATTTATGCAGTCCAAAATCCCATTGGTTTTTTTAGCTGCCACATCACATTGTTGGCTCATGTTTAACTTGTTGTCCACGAGGACTCCAAGATCTTTTCCACACGTACTGCTGTTGAGCATTTCATTTTTTCTGCCTAAGTAGAGTATCTTGCATTTCTCCCTGTTGAACTTCAGTGCAGATGCCGTGCCTACAATCTTTTTTCAGTTCTGTTGAAACACTAAAGTAAACTTCTGGCAGTGGAACTTTGAGGTAGTGAAGATAAATATTCGCGCTCTGATCTGTTTTTAGTATCAATGTTTGGAGTGCAATTAGTAATTTATTTGCCTTTGTTGGACAGCTTCTGGTTGACCTTGATTTAGTAGTTCCTTAATGATTGTGTAAATACTGAGATTGTTTCTAAATTTATTTTTATAGAAGCATACGTCTTCCTATGAAGCCTCAAGCAGCGATTGCCTACCCACTTACTTTAGTACAAGTCCCACTGAACATGGTGGGGTGTTGTGCTTGCTACACAGAGTGATACTAGTTGCTGCAGGACAAGGGTGGGCAGCTCTGGAAGGATTGGGGGCTGCATTTTCCCCCTAGGAGACCTTGGAGGGCTGCATCTGTGTTAATACATATGTGTTGTTTCTGTTGCCCATAAACACCTCAAGGTTGTATGAGAGCGTTTTCGCCATGTTATGGGGTTAAAAAAAAAAGGTTCTCCTTGTTTTAAATTGGCTCAGGGGAGCTACGAATGTGGTGGAAATGCTCCTCTAGTGGAGCCCCTGGTAGTGCAATGGGTTAAACCCTTGTGCTGGCAGGACTGAAGACCATCAGGTTTGAGGTTCAAATCCGTGAGAGCGCAGATGAGCTCCGTCTGTCAGCTCCAGCTCCTCATGCGGGGACATGAGAGAAGCCTCCCACAAGGATGGTAAAACATCAAAACATCCGGGCGTTCCCTGGCAACGTCCCCTGGGCAATGTCCTTGCAGACAGCCAATTCTTTCACACCAAAAGCGACTTGCAATTTCTCAAGTTGCTCCTGACATGGAAAAACAACCCTCTAGTGGACGTTTTGGAGCATTTCAGGGCATTTCTTTTTTTAAAAAAATCCAACATTTGTTTTTACCCCTCTGGGGGGCATACTTGTAGGAAATGCCCTCAGATACTTTTAGGGTGCATTTGAAAGCATTCCACAACAAAACAACAAGAAGGAGAACAAGGAGCAGGAGAACAAGAACAAATTTTCTTTTTGCAAAACATTATTTGTTAACCCCTGTTCAGTACAAAATTGGCTCTAGGGACCTACATACTAACATTTTATTACTGCTTGCATTAGGGCACAAGGGACTAGTTTTTTTGGCTAATGGGACAACAAGATGTAAATTAAGTGTCCACTCCCCCAAAAAAACTCATCCATATGGGCTAGAATTGTGTAAACTGCCTCACAAAGGCCTTACAAAGACCCATCAATTAACTGGATGTCAATGGACTAAAAGGAGACTTGGGAATTTTTGCAGACAGCCACAAATGCCATCAGAGTTATTACAAATCTCTTCTTTGTGGCATTTCTGTTTACAAATATAAAACTGCAGGTAATGGTGATCTGGAAAGAACAATTTTACACCAAGTATGGCCATGGCTTCAGGAACAACCACATAAATCTGGAGGACAAATCTTCTGGGCTGTGGTAGAGCAGGTTTCAGTGTACCTTCTCAAAGGAGGATAGTTGTAAATCACCACTGAAGCCATGCAACCACTTCTGACCTTACATGGACTCAAGCATTTGCGTTTGTTCAGGAAGACCGATGATTAGTACATGTTATTATGCTGAACTATAGGGATTTAATACCAGCAGCACTCTTAAATAGGCCAAATCTAAATTGAAAGTTCCAAGTGTATCCTATTGAAAATATTCTCTCTCCAGGAAACTATTATTTATTTATTTATTTACAGTATTTATATTCCGCCCTTCTCACCCCACAGGGAACTCAGAGTGGATTATAATGTACATATACATGGCAAACATTCAGTGCCAGTTAGACATACAACAGACGCAGAGGCAATTTTAACATTCCAGTTGTGCCCAAGTTTTTTTCCGGCCTCATGAGGGTATGCTGGATTCTGGCTCAATTCCAGCCACAGGGGGAGCTGCTGCTTCACAGTCCATTATGACGGCGAGTCCTTGATGGAGTACTTCCTCATTCTTCTGCACAATGCTGGAAGGCTTTTATGGCATTGTAAATTAGTTAAATTAGCCTCCCCGCATAAGCAATACCTAAATTTCCTACTTAACAGATGCCACTGTCTTTAGGCTGCATAGGTTGACAGCAAGCTAAATGAATGGCCGGAAGCTCACACTGACCCGGGCTGGCTTCGAACTCATGAGCTCTTGGTCAGTAGTGATTTAATGCAGCTAGCTCTCATCTAATTACACCACTACTGTTGTTGTCTCCACTTGATATTTATTTTTGCAATACCTTTTACTCCATAGTCAGTTCATTGTATCTCTAAAGTATAAAATTTCTTTAATAATCAGAAGGCAACTGATGGTGTAGTAGTTTGATCGTTGGACCATGACTCTGAAGTGCTGGATTCAATTCCCTTCTAAGCCATGGAATCCCACTGGTCATCTTCAGTTTCACACTTCAGAAATAAATAAATAAACTCAAGGGGGTAAAGTGCTACCTGGCTGTACAAAACCCTGCAGCTAGGTGAAACCATCCCACAGTGGCACAATTGAAGCCAATACTGTATCGGACAAGCTCTTAGGTGTTTCTTGAACCCACATTGGAGACTGAGTAAATCTGCTTCTGGAAGATACCTTGCATTTCAGTAACTCTTACGTCTTATGGTTTGTCTTCTTCCCTGATGGTATCCTTTCCAGTTATGGTTTTTTGTTCAAATGCCTGGTTGTAATGATATCAAGTCATGAAACCATTTTATTTTACTTTTTGGGATTGCTGAAGTTTTGCCTTAGTATCTTTATATAAAATGATAGCTTGGGGAAATTATGAATGGTCGGAGTTTGTTTTTGGTTGCTCTTTGATACCTGCAAAAACAGGTTATTGGACTGTTTATCTGTGTAAAGAGCTATCACTTCCCCTTTTGGCCTGTTCTCTTCATTTATCTGGGTTAAGCGAACCCATTCTTTTCTGGATGGAAACCCAAGCTTGAGCTGTGGAAAAATTCCAGGCAGTAGTTATATCATTCAGATCCACAAGAGGAGCAGAAGCCATTTGAATTTGATGAGTAGTTAAAATCAGTGGCTACTACTCACAGCAGAAATACAGCCCTCCAGTATTAGAGGCAGAACAGTTCTGCATCTTGGTTTCTGAAAGTTGGAGGGTATGGTTGTACTTGCATCTTGCTGACATGAATACAATCTTTTGGGGCATTAGTTTTAGCTACTGTGTGAATAAAAATGCTGGATTGAGATAGGTCTGTGACCTAGATTGACCTCTGGTCTGAGATATAGTATAGCTTTTCTTACTGTAATCTATTGGGGGAGGGGGTGGATCACACTGAGGAAAAAAGATAACTATGGATCCAACTCAGAAATGTACTAAGAATATTAAGAATTATCCCAGCAGGATGGTGGTAATAGACTTGTGTTTTGGAAATTAAAATTATTACCTGGAGGGAAGAAACCCTATTTCTTCTATAACACTATGTCCTATCAAGAATAAATGTAGGATGAATAAATCCCAAATATTAATTGCAATGTTAGTTACTTCTACACAATTGGTTTTGTTCCCATAGTTGTTTCCCCTTAAAGAACAGGTTTCAGTTCCATATTAGCTGTGTTTTCCCCCAAATCCACTGCAGTGTGTTGAATTTACCAAGAAGGAGAGCATATGCAGGATCTGTAAATAATTACAATGTGACTATATTAAGTTAATGTAATGCTTACTTTAAAAGATGTGATATAAACACAGAGAACTGGTAAGCCCTGACACTCGAGTATTGTAACTGGAGGTCAGCTGTTACCAACAGTGCTGTGGATTTTGAAGAGGCACAAATACAGGGCGAGAAGAAGAAATGTGCCAAGCGGAAGCTGTGTCAAGAAAACTCTTTTCGGGACCAGCTTTCATCTGGAAATCTATGTCCTCAATGTGAAAGACTGTGGATCCAGAAAAGATCATTACAGTCATTTACGGATCCACCGCTAAGACTGTACCTCTGAGAGGCAATCATACTCGGCCACGAGTGATTGCACATGATGCATTCCAGGCCAGAAAACCCCTCTGACATTCAATACCACACAGCTGAGTAAAAATGCAAGCAGTTTATTGAAGATATTTTAAAAGCAGTAGCAGTAAAAAGCACTCCATTAAAATACCGTAGGTAAATCCAATTAGGTAGAAAGATAAGCAGGGGCAAATAGTCCGGGAAATTAGTCCATCAAAGTTCATGAAAAACAGAGGCAAAACTTCTAAGGTAGAATTCCAAAGCTTTAATCATAAATCAAACGCACTTAACACATGAATCCATCCAAAGCAAGGCTTCTAAGGTCCAGGGAAGATGTCTTGACTCGATTCCAAATGATGCTTCATCTGACTATTTATTTATTTATTTATTTATTTATTTACTGCGCTTATATACTGCAATTCTCAGCCCAGGGGCGACTCATTGCGGTGTACAACATAGAAAAACAGGTGCAAAATACAAGACATAGTGCAATACAATCCACAAATTCATCATTAACAAAAACATCCTAATCAAAAACATCAACATTATTACAAAAGCCATTTCATGTCGTCTCATCGTCAAATCCACAATCCGATATCATTTCCGTTGTTCCGTTCCTATGGTCAAATTATCAATCATTGCACTTCTTGCTCAAATGCCTTCTTAATCAGCCAGGTCTTTAATTTTCTGCGGAATATCAACAGGGAGGGAGCTAGCCTGATCTCCACAGGAAGGGTGTTCCACAGCCGAGGCGCCACCACCGAGAAGGCCCTATCTCTCGTCCCCGCCAGCCGTGCCTGTGATGCAGGCGGAATCGAGAGCAGGGCCTCCCCGGAAGATCTCCAAGTCCTTGTGGGTTCATAGGCCAAGAGGCGGTCAGTTAAGTATCTTGGGCCGGAACCGTTTAGGGCTTTATAGGCCAGTGCAAACACCTTGAATTGAGCCCGGTAGCAGATCGGCAGCCAGTGGAGCTGGTACAGCAGGGGGTTGTATGCTCCCTGCGTCCCGCTCCTGTTAGTATCATGGCTGCCGCACGTTGGACCAGTTGGAGCTTCCGGGCCGTCTTTAAAGGCAACCCCACGTAGAGAGCGTTGCAGTAGCGGGATGTAACCAGAGCGTGGATTATCGTGGCCAAGTCAGACTTCCCAAGGTACGGGTGCAGCTGGCGCACAAGTTTTAACTGTGCAAATGCTCCCCTGGTCACCGCCGAAACCTGGGGATCCAGGCTCAGCGATGAATCCAGGATCACACCCAAGCTGCGAATCTGCGCCTTCAAGGGGAGTGCGACCCCATCCAGCACAGGCTGTAACTCTATACCCTGTTCGGCCTTGTGACTGACCAGGAGTACCTCTATAGCATTTTGTTTTTTATTAATCTCCCATCAGAAAATGCATAAGGATGTAGGTGAACTACAACTCCCAAAATCGTGGGCCAATCCTCCCCAAATCCCACCAGTATTCACAGTTGGCCATGTTGGGTATGTGTGCCAAGTTTGGTCGTTCAATTTCAATTTGTTCGCCCTCATCCAGACCGTCACAGCGGCCAAGCACCGGTTCAGGACCTCGACAGCCTCCTTAGTAGCAGGTGGAAAGGAGTGACAGAGCTGGACATCATCTGCGTACAGATGACACCGTACCCCGAAACTCTGGATGATCTCTCCCAGCGGCTTCATGTAGATGTTAAACAACATGGGGGACAATATTGAACCCTGAAAAGCATTGATTTAATTGCGGTACATTTTGCTGAAGGGGGGGGGGGTAGCATTTGACATGCCACAATTGTGAGGAACCTGATGTTCCTTTGAATGTTGTTGAACTATGGACACTGACCATGTTGCCTGGACTGATTTATTGAAAGACTGTAACAAACCATTTTCAAAAAAGGACAAACCCTTTATATATTTACTACAGATTCTGTACTTGGCACTTTTATCCCCTAATTACTCTATGTCCCAAGTGGCCAGAAATGGGTTTCATTTTAGCCTTGGCTCTCTTATCAGTCTCTCTTTTAGCCTGGCAGAATGCCTGAAAGATTGGGTTTTTTTTCTATACTGACTAACAACATCCCGTCTATCTACTGGCTCATTAATTTCTGCAGCTGGCCCAGGTGCCAAGCTATTCTCAGGCTCCAAATCATGGGAATTCTCTGGTAGCAATTTAGGGACCACACAATCATCCCCAAACCCTTCAGGAATATTCTCCTCAAAGGAGACACTTTAAGAGGAATCCCATTGTCATTCTCTGCATTAATAGCCACCTCATTATTAGAAATATCATTACCTATATGAACATTGTCATTCCCAACATCCAGAGTACCCTGATCATTAGACACAATCACAGGCTGGACTCCAACAGCACATAGCATCCAGAGTATGAATTTTGCTTAAAAACATACTGGGCTAGAATATGTAATAAATCTGGGAATTTCATAAATTAACACATATGTAAGTTTTATTTGACTGTGTGAGATCCATATATTCAACTTGATTTAACTAACTTATCAAACATTTTAGGGATCACATTAAGGTGCACATGGTATGTGCACGTATGTTCCTTCAAATCACCTGTCACCTTATTATGACCTTATTAATCTCTATCTATCTATCTATCTATCTATCTATCTATCTATCTATCTATCTATGAAAGATAACACTCAGGGGTAGTTTGCCTTTACCCTCCAAGGAAACACAGGTTATAGTACCTGGTGCTAACTGACTATTCCCCACATCCAAATATTAATGTGGCTCTAGTGCCTCCAGAGTATTTGGAGTACACACAGAGTACATAGCAACAAATATTGCAAAAGTCCCAATAAAGTAATTTACCCCAAACAGAGCATATTTGTTTTCACATTTTTTAGCCTTTCTTCTCCTCTCCAAAGAATTCAGATTGACATGTCTGTCCTTACACTATGACAAACCTACAAGCAAAACTGTGTTCAAGGTCATCTAGGGGCTTGCACACAGGTGGTCCTGGCTTGGCACTTAAAATACCTGCCTTTTCTGTGTAATTTGACCATGGCTCTTGTAAAAGACCAAACTAAGTGTTTATTCCCAGAGTAGGTGGATTTAAGTTAATTGAACCAGCCCTCTGCCTTTAGATATTTAGTCACTTTTATGTGCCCCTCAAATGTGCTAGCTTGACGTCTTAATACATTTACACATGTGTAAGATTGTTTCAGTGACTCCAATTTTAGTTGGGCCAAGAATTGGATTTGAGTTTAAGTTCTCAATTCAGCCAGTCCCTCAGTGTGTGAGATTTAGAAACCAGTCATTTAGTATCCAATTTGCAAAACAGAATGGTGTTTACAGTATCCTTTTCTTCAATGTAAAATACAGGGTTTAAATGATTTTTAAATAATCAATTAAGACTATGTTCATGAAGGTCCTATTACAATCAGGTAAGTCAGTGAACCATACTGCCATATATCCTAAATGCTCTCCCAAGAAGCCAAGATAATGAAACTGAGACTCATATTTTGTCCACATCATGAAAAGAGATGACTCACTAGAAAAGGCAACATTTTGTAAGAAAGAACGTGATAGCAACAAAGGAAGATCACATTTTAGGTGGACAGACTCAGGTCCCTTCTACATTGTCATATAATCCAGATTATAACAGCAGATAATCCATATTATCTGCTTTGAACTGAATTATTAAAGTCTACCCTGCCATATAATCCAGTTCAAAGCAGATAATCTGGATGTTATATGGCAGTGTAGAAGGGGCCTAATTCAAGGAAGCCTCAGCCGTGAGTAAGTATAACGTAACCCAGAGGTCTCTTGTTTATAAGGATGCCATAAATCTAAGTTGACATTATGGTAAACAACATTAGTGAATTTGTGAGTATTTCAGATCTTGGAATTCCGAAGAAGGGATGCTTGGTGTGTCTAATTGCATTTTCTTCCAAACTGCCAAACTTTTGGAATAAAATGTGATTAGACACATCGAGCAACCCTTCACCGGAATTCCAAGATCTGACATACTCACAAATTCAACATTATCCACCTTTGGCTGAAATGGTGACACTTCTGCTTTCTGAGGGTTCCGCGTACACAAACTTTGTCCCATGCACAGAATCATTAAAATGGTCTCTATAGATCAGTGGTTCTCAACCTGTGGGTCCCCAGGTGTTTTGGCCTACAACTCCCAGAAATCCCACTGTTAGGATTTCTGGGTGTTGGAAGCCAAAACATCTGGGGAGCCACAGGTTGAGAACCACTGGAGATGCATCTGCACTTTGGAGCAGCTTGACTCCAGTTTAAATCCAGGGAGTTGTAGTCTGCTGAGACACCAACTAAAGAAAAACAAAAGCTGAAGATCTAGTAAAACTACAACTCCCATGACTCCGTAACATTGACAGTCCAACCACTTCATCATATTGAAGCAGGGAAGTGTCTGGCAGAGTAGAGCTCAGTCATACTTCATGTGGAAATGAAACGGATGATTCCCCTATCTTCATCACACTGTTATATCTAAACAGTACGACTCAGTTGTACTCAGTATTCTTTAAGTTGATTTGCCATCATGCAATAGTAACACTACCTCCAGACTATCTATCTATCTATCTATCTATCTATCTATCTATCTATCTATCTATCTATCTATCTAACTCCAGACTATCTATCTATCTATCTATCTATCTATCTATCTATCTATCTATCTATCTATCTATCTATCTATCTATCTATCTATCTATCTATCTATCTACCTACCTACCTACCTACCTACCTACCTACCTACCTAGTTATCTACCTAGCTATCTATCTACCTAGCTATCTAAAAGGGACAGGAAGTGAGGTGCCCCCTTGCCCCCTCCTTCGCAGTCCAACATGGCGGCGCCCATGGAGGAACCGGCCTCGACTTCCGGCTGGCTTTGAGCAGAGCCCTTCCTTCCCTCCCTCCCGTCTCGCTGTCACCGCTGCCACGCCCTTTTCTCCTCCGAAGAGCGAGCGTGGTCCTGGATGGCGAGGGAGAGGCTGCTCTCTGGACGCCCCAGGTTGCGCTGCACAGGTGAGTAGGCCTTTCCCCCATAGGGTGTTTTTCCAGGTGGATGCCTCCTCTGACAGAGAGCCAGGCATCCCGCCTTTTTCGTCAGGAGGCCGGCTAAACCAGGGGAAAGGGGCGTGAGGGTGGCGGGAAGAATAACAATTGCTTCGGTGGTTGCTCTCCGTGTAAACCAGGCATGGGCCAACTTGGGCCCTCCCTCCAGGTGTTTTGGACTGCAACTCCCACCATTCCTCACAGCCTCAGGCCCCTTCCTTTTCCTCTTTCCGCTTATGCGGCTGAGGGGGAAAAGGAAAGGGCCTGAGGCTGTGAGGAATGGTGGGAGTTGCAGTCCAAAACACCTGGAGGGAGGGCCCAAGTTGGCCCATGCCTACTTTGAAAGGATCAAAGGACCCCTCCTCCTTCCTTTTGAGTGCCAATCCTGCTAGATATCCACAAGGATGGAGAGTGAAATCACATTTTGAAATATGGAGATCCCCAAGAAATTTCCTGCAGCAAAACAATTGGCCTTGGAGTTTTGTTTGTTTGTTTGTTTTGATCTGGAAGCGCTGCACCAAAGTGGATGGGCAGCTGGCCCTTTGCCCGCATGCATTTGGCTAGGGATGAGCATGGAAAGAGAGAGAGAGAGAGAGCATCCTTTTACACAGTATATAATCCAGAATATCAAGGCAGATAATCCACAATCTCTGCTTTGAACTGAATTATCTGAGGGCCCTTCCAGACAGGCTCTATATCCCAGGATCCGATCCCAGGTTTTCTGCTTTAAACTGGATTGTATGAGCCTACACTAGACCCTTCCACACAGCCATATAACCCAGAATATCAAGGCAGGAAATCCCACAATATTGGCTTTGAACTGGAATGTCAGAGTACACACTGCCATATATCCCAGTTCAAAGCAGATAATATGGGAATTTATTCAGAATATCAAGGCAAACAATCCCACAATGTCTGCTTCAAACTACAATATATGGCCATATATTGCAGTTCACCAGAATATTAAGGCAGATAATCCACAATGTTTGCCTTGCACTGGATTATATGAGGGCTCTTCTAGACAGGCCCTATATCCCAGGATCAGATTATATGAGTCCACACTGGGCCCTTCCCAAAATATAACCCAAAATACCAAGGCAAGAAATCCCACAATATCAGCTTTGAACTGAGATATATGGCAGTGTGGATTTAGGGCCCTTCCACACAGCCATATAACCCAAAATATCAAGGCAGGAAATCCCACAATATCAACTTTGAACTGGAATATCTTGAGTCCACACTGCCATATATCCCAGTTCAAAGCAGATAATATGGGATTTTATTCAGCTGTATGGAAGGGGCCTGAGATATCCCAGGGCCCTTCCATATAGCCACATAACACAGAATATCAAGATAGACAATCCCACAATATATGCTTTGAACTGGATTATCTGAGTCCACACTACCATACATCCCAGTTCAAAGCAGATAATGTGGGATTTTATTCAGCTGTATGGAAATGGCCTGAGATAACCCAGGGCCCTACCACGCAGCCATATAACACAAAATTATCAAGACAGATAATCTACAATAACTGCTTTGAACTGGGTTATCTGAGTCCATACTACCACATGATCCAGTTCAATGTGGATTTTATACCTCTGTGTGGAAGGGTCCACAGTTAAAAACAGATATTGTGGTATTTTCTGCCTTGATATTCTGGTTTATATGGGTGCAAGGGCCCTCTGCCAAATAATCTGGGATAAACAGAAAACCTGGGATCGTATCTTGGAATATAATGTCTATCTGGAAGGGCCCTGAGTCCACACTGCCATATAATCCAGTTCAATGTGGATTTTATACAGCTGTGTGGAAGAGGAAGGAAGGGGGATGCCACAATTTTTATCATCCTACAAGCAGTCCTATTGAAAGGGGAACATGCCTTAATAATTAAAGGGGAAGGTGGGTATTACTTATTAAAAGGTTTTGTTCATGGATTGAAAAGTCATTGTCCCATAACTGGTGAGGTTTAGGGTGCATCCAGACTAAAGAATTAATGCACTTTGGCACTGCTATGGTTTGATGCTATGTGATCATGGGATTTGTAATTTGGTGAGGTCCCTGCACTCTTTAGCAGAGAAGGCGAATGACCTAGCCAAGCTGGAAGTCCCACAATCCCGTAACATTGAGCCATGGCTGTTAAAATGTTGTCAAACTATTAATTCTACAATATAGATATACCCTAACCTGTATCTATGTAAAAACAAGCCCCAATAAATCTCATGGGGGTAACTCTGGGGGCCCTTCCACATCACCATATAACCCCGAACATCAAGGCAAAAAACCCCCACAATATCTGCTTTGAACTGGCTTATCTGAGTCTACACTGCCATATATTCCAGTTCAAAGCAGAAAATGTGGATTTTTATTCAACTGTGTGGAAGGGGCCTCAATGTGCATCTACACTATAGAATTAATACAGTTTGACACCACTTTAACTGCCACAGCCCGATATTATGGAAACATGGGAGTTGTAGCTTGACAAGATCTTCATCCTTCTGTGCCAAAGAGAGCTAGTGCCTCACTAAACCACACATCCCAGGATTTCGTAGCATTTGACCATGGCAGTTGAAATGGTGTCAAACTGCAATAATTCAGCAGTGTAGAAGCATCCTCCTAAGTTGTAGAGCCTGTCCCCATGATACTCACCTTCTCTATCCCTCCCTTAAAACTTTCAGACAGTTGATGGATAGGGGATATTCTGTTTTTATCAAAGATGTATATAACATAGCCAGTCTTCCAGGTTTCAGAACATCCATGTTGCCAAGAATATAATGGGCAGAATTTATTTAATAATTGCCCAGCAATCCCTCCACCCCGACCACCAAGAAGAATTATTTCAGTTGTTTAGTATTACTTATTACCACCCATTTCAGTTGTAAACCCTATCCAAACTCTCATAATCTGTTTATACACTACATGGGAGGCAAGATAGAAAATAATTTAGTTTAACACAAATAATGGAGAATTAGCTAACGTAACATACATAATTAACTTGGTGTTGTCTGCTTATTTGTGTAGTCAAACTTATAACAGTTTACAGAGCTCTTTAGGAAAGAGCTTAGTCATTGTGTGAAAGAAATCAAAACCAAGAGACATCTCATTTTTTCCTACTGTTCTAGGCCAAGTCCAGCACAAATTCTGGAAAAACCTGTTTGCTGTGCAAGGCAGGATCAACTGTAGCGTAATATAATGGAGTCCCTACAAAAGGCCCCTTTCTTCTTTATTTTCAAGCTCTTTCCACAGGCAGTTTTGTGATGATGGAAAGGGTGGAAAGGGGCCTAAACTTATTTTTTAATTTAGTGGAGCTGTCTGGTTATTATTCCATCTGGTTTGAATGTTATTAATGTACATTTCTATTAATGTGGGACAGAGGAAGAACTTGGGTGGTAAGAAGAAATGAGATATGAATGGAAGAACCCTGATCTCTTTGGTGTGTTCAAGGACTATTTCACACATTGCAGTTAAAGTACTGCAATTCCATGTGTTATTGAGGGCTTTCATGACCAGAATCACTGGGTTGCTGTGAGTTTTTTGGGTTGTCTGGCCATGTTCCAGAAGCATTCTCTCCTGATGTTTCACCCACATCAATGGCAGGCAAAAAAACTCTAAAATCAGGGCAGTAAAACTCTAAAATCAGGGCTTCAACAACAAGAGAAACACTAAAAAAGCAGGGGAATTCCAGACAAGAATCAATCAGGGCCAGCGAACGCCTCCCAGGATTTCCCCAGGCAGCAATTATCCAGGCTTTGAAGCTGCAAGGCCATTACATACTAATCAAGGTGGCCATTTGCAACATTCACACTTGCCTCAAGCAGACAGGAGTTCTTTCTTCTACCCTGGACATCCCACAGATATATAAACCTCACTTGCGTAGTTTCCAACAGACCCCTCAACCTCTGAGGGTGCCTGCCATAGATGTGGGTGAAACATCAGGGGAGAATGCTTCTGGAACATGGCCATACAGTCCAGAAAACCCACAGCAACCCAGTGTAAATATGGATTATATGGGGAAAGTGAAGGAAAAGGAGTGGGTAGTGGGTACTGAGATTGAGAAAGGAAATGATGAGGGGACATTTTGTGTTAAAGAAGAGAAGAATCAATGGAAGGAGCACATTTCACATAGAAAGTGGGGCTGTAAGGAAGAAGTCCAGATGAAAACTTTTCCCTCCGTTTAGTTTCCCATTCAAAAGGTTTGAGATGTTTTCTTTGCTTGTTTTTTTTTTGTGGATGTGCATTTATTCATGTGAACTCTTATCGTGAATTCCAAAGTAGTAGGAATCACCCATCTAAGATTGGATCTACACTGCCCTATATCCCAGGATCTGATCCCAGAATATCTTCTTATCCCAGATTATCTGGCAGTGTAGACTCATATAATGCAATTCAAAACAGATATAGGGCAGTGTAGATCTAGCCTCAGTGAGAATTATGGTGAAGCCCATAGCAGATAGACCAGACATGGGCAAACTTTGGCCCTCCAGGTGTTTTGGACTTCAACTCCCACAATTCCTAACAGCTGGTAGGTTGTTAGGAGTTGTGGGAGTTGAAATCCAAAACACCTGGAGGGCTGAAGTTTTCCCATGCCTGAGATATACTGTGGTCTTAATTAGGGCCTAACTTCCCATAAGGTATCAGATCCTATCTGATCTTGGAGGCCAAGCAGGGTCAGCCATATTTAGTACTTGGCTGGGAGACCCCTGAGGAATAAATACCAGGTGCAGTCAACTGTATTTCAGAGGAAGGAATTGGCAAAAACATATCCATAATATTCTTTGCTTAAGAAAACCCTATGAAATTCATGGGGTTGCTTTAAGTTGAAAGATAACTTGAAGATGCCCAAGTTGTAGAAGAACTATATACTAAAGCCAGGGCTGACATCCTGTTGGTTAGTCCCAGTTATAGTAGACTCATTCAGTCAACTGTTCAATGGCATGCCAACATGTAGATAAATCTAATGGATTCAACAGATCTAATTAGGTCAAAAAGAGGCCAAATTCTGTCTTAGCATCCATGTAAAATGAAAAAGCGATGACTGAAAGTATTGCTTGGACAGGAGACCCAAGACCTAAACCCAGTTCTTAGTTTCTAATACAATAGGCCCATTGAATAATCAGGAACTTGGTATTAACAGAAGTCTCTGTTGGTTCAATCTACTCTTACAATCGGATTTAATTTATTATTCTCTGGCTTTTTATTCTTGTCCAGGTATCTACTGCACCAAAACCATTCCCAGAGCTCCCTTTGCAACTTTGAACCACGTTTTGCTGGAGTAAAAGCACTGCTGAGGTGAAGTAGTTTCTTAATCAAATGGTTTGTTAGCAAACAAGTATATATTTCAAATTTTCTGCTGTGAATGCTGGATTTACTTTTATTATTTTGCACAGATTTGTCCAGATCCAGGTTGATCATACATCCTGGCTTTTCCTTTTGTCTTAAAATTATTATACCATATTGTTGTCATTCTGCTTTGCTTTCTAAAATTACAGAGTTAAAAAGGAATTTCCCAAGAGCCATCTAGTCCAATCCCTAGTTGCCATGCCACCTGTACATACTAGAAAAAGCCACGAAACTCAGCTGAAGTTGGTCACATTGGCATCATTCATGCACTGAATGTGCTCAGAAAAATCCAGTTTGCCATAGTATTGCTACTTTTCAGCTTCGGAAATTATTGACAGCCACTCAAAACACTGTTGGAGACTTGTGAACTCTAAATAACCATTAATCATGGGTATATCTTGTGGCGTTGTTTTATTCTAATTAATAATTAGAACTGAAAATCAGGTCACTCCTGTGGAATTGTCATTTTAAAATTGTGACATATTCTGCTCTTGTTAATGACCTCCTCAAGATTCATTACACAGAATATGCATTTACGAGTATATGCCTTCATACTTTGCATTTGCTTAGCCTATTCCCTACCTTGAGTGGATCTACTCAAGATAGAACTAGCAATTAGATTCAGATTTTTACAATACACTTTTTAATGTTTGTTGATGGGAAGATGGGAAGAAGACACTGTGATAAATTTTGTGTTACCAAAGAGAAAATTTATTGGTTGTTTGTAATAGGTATGTTTTTTTAGCTTGTTTTAATTTTGTGTATAGTTTAACTATATTTTTACTGCTGCATTTGGGGGGGGGGGGTGTGTGTGTGTGGAATTTCCTTAGCTATGGGGGATCCATGTTATAGATTTAATGCAATTTGACACCACTTCAACTGCCATGACTCAGTTCTATAGAATCATGAGAGTTGTGGTTTGCACAGAAGGCCAAATCTACAACTCCCATGATCCTTAGCATTGAGCCATGACATTTACAGTGGGGTCAAACTGCATAATTTCTGTAATGTAGATGCACGCTGTTTCTTTTAACTGTTTTAAGTTGCCTTGAGTTCTAGGCTGTGATAAAGACCAAATATAAATGAAATGAAATATTTGTTTTGTTTGTTTGTTTACAGTTCTTATATTCCGCCCTTCTCACCCCGCAGGGGACTCAGGGCGGATTACAGTAAACACATATATGGCAAACATTCAATGCCAGTTTGACAAACAACATTTAACAGACAAAGGCTATTTAACTTTTTTTCTGGCCGCTGGGGGAGCTGCTGCTTTTCATCATCCATCAACGACACCGATGAAGTTCTTCCGCATTCCACATTCCCCGGAGTCTTCTTTCTTTATGGCCTCATAAATTAGTTAAATTTAGCCTCCCACACAAGGTGGTACCTTATTTTCCTACTTGACAGATGGCTGGACACCCACTCCAGCCCGGGCTGGCTTCGAACTCATGACCTTTAGGTCAGAGTGATCTTAATGCAGCTGACACTCAGCCAGCTGCGCCACAATCCCGGTGGATGTTTCATTTAGACAATTAACCTTCTCCCCTCAACAGTTAATCTCATTAGTTAATTGTATTACAATGTGCATTTTTAGGAATAGATAGTAGTTTAACCTCATTAGTAGGCTATGACTGCTACCACTTTTTAAGTATCTAAAATCACAAAATCAAATTAAATGCACTACAAGAAAGTAGAAGAGAATTTGACTTTGATGTGTTGATTTCCTAAAGACAGAAATATAGAGAATTATATATATTTTAAGCCAATATACTTCTTTATATTTCTGTCTTTGGAAATTTGACATATAGGAGTCAAATTCTCTTTCTAGTAATGCATTTAATTTAGAGCAAGTGCATTAGGTGTAAAATTTTGTTGTATGAGGTTAGCAGAGAATTTAGAATCATAGGATCATAGAATCATAGAGTTGGAAGAGATCTCATGGGCCATCCAGTCCAACCCTCTGCCAAGAAGCAGGACAATCGCGTTCAAAGCATCTCCAACAGATGGCCATCCAGCCTCTGTTTAAAAGCCCCAACAGAAGGAGCCTCCAGCACACTCCGAGACAGAGAGTTCTACTGCTGAATAGCTCTCACTGTTAAGAAGTTCTTCCTAATGTTCAGGTGGAATCGCCTTTTTCCTGTAGTTTGAAGCCATTGCTCCGCGTATTTGGCCATCATGACGGTATTACATGAACCAATTTAACTTTTTTCCTTTCTTTCTTAGTCCCAACATCTGAGAATGTCCCAGGACCAAGACATGCCGGGTTCAAGTGAGGGAAAACCAGACAAGTTGGAAGATAACCAGCAGGAAAACGCAGAAAACTCAGAACAGTCAGTCAGGAAGAAGATCCGGCAGAATCCCCCAACTCCTAGCAGAGGCGATACCCTGGAGCGTAAGCGAAATCATTACTTGGAGCTCATTATTTCCTCTGACAACAAGCAAACTTTTCTTGAGTAGCTTCCGTTTTGCTTTTACATAGTAAATGGAACACTTCTGAACAAACAATATGGCATTTCCCTTTCAATTAGATGTATTATTTAAAGGAATCCTTGTAAGAATCCCTAGAATTGGGCTTCCTGTTTTCTCTTGTGCCCTACTCCAGGCAATGTTGAAGTAATGGGTCTCAGGATTAAGTATACAGTTACATGAAGTAGTCTAATCTGCAAATCTTGAGTTTTAAGTTTTTGAATATGGACTAAAATCTTCTCCTACTCTGGTATCTTCCTGAAAATACTGACTTTTCTTTGTCATGGATTCTTGACCCAGGGGTTTTACCTTTTATCAGTCCTCCTTTCCAATACTCTTCATTTTGTCCTCCCTTTGGGAAATCTTTACTGTAATGCATATGACATCTGGGTTGTGGTGAGTTTTTTGGGCTGTATGGCATGTTCCAGAAGCATTATCTCCTCACGTTTGAACCACATCTATGGCAAGCATCCTCAGAGGTAGTGAGGTATATTGGAAACCAGGCAAGGGAGGTTTATATATCTGTGGAAGGTCCAGGGTGGGAGAAAGAACCCTTGTCTGTTGGAGGCAGGTTTGAATGTTGCAAATGGCCACCTTGATTAACATTAAAAAGCCTTGCATCTTCAAGGCCTGTCTGATTCCTGTCTGGGGGAATCCATTGTTGGGAGGTGTTAGCTGGCTCTGATTGTTTCATGTCTGGAATTCCCAGATGACATTCATTTGGCAGTCTTCACTTTACCTTCCTTGTTGCCAATTTTTCTTTGTTCAGAAGGCCATATAAAAAGCATCATGTTCCCTCTTACTTGCTCTCTTTCTTGATCCCTGTATTTAGCAGGATCAGATTTCTTTGCCCCTTACCAGAATGATAATATAAGATTAAAGTGGACTTCCTGCCTCAAAGACAAACAGTGAAAATATTGTTAAAAAAAACCCTAATATGTAATTCTAGACAGTTACTTCATTCTACCTTATTACATATTTTTATTAAATCTCAAAACCTGGCAGTACAGGCAGTTTCCAAGTTACAAACATCTGACTTATAAACAACTCATAGCTAAGAACAGGGGTGAGACAACAAGAAGTGAGGGAAATCTATTCCTCAGAAGGGAAACTCATTCCTGAAAGAGTTATTTATCATGGTGTCCCCAATGAAGCTTTATCACCAATCCTTGTTTCCACAACATGCAAAATTTTTAAAAATCCAATTATCACAGGGACAGAAAGTGAGGTGAAATCTTCCGAACAGGGGTCTAGACAGGCAAACAAACACCACAGAAGTGTTAACTCTTCTCTTTGCTATCCAAAGCTCATATATATTATTATTATTATTGCAGCAAGATGACTCTGTGCACAAAACTTGAAAACTAAAGGACTATCCCTAAAAGAAAGTTGGAATACAGACGTTTTAGAATGGACAGAAATGGAGAAATTATCTTCCTGATAAAGGAGAAGAATGGAAACCATTTATATCATATATACATATGCGTGCACGCGCACACACACATACACACACATACACACACATATGGGGCTAGTGTTCTACTTAAAAATGTACCTGCTCTGACTTGCATACAAATTCAACTTAAGAACAATTCTACAGAACCTATCTTGTTCTTAACTTGGGGACTACTTATATATGTGTGTATGTAAAGATTAATGAATTAACAAGCATGGAGAGTCCAGTTGAGATCTGGGCCCTGGTTGGGAAGAGGGTCCTCTTCCCTCCCACTCAAGGGGTCTGCTCTGGATACAGGAGACATGATGCCTCTTAGCAAAAACACAACTGGATGACTAGCACCACAAGGAAATGCAAAGGACAAAAGGACCTATCAGATACTCAAAATCTATTTTTGGCAACCAAGAGGAATGGAAAATTCTCTGCATCAAAAATAGTTAAATTTCTTAGGATTGCTAACACTGTTAGAACCTTCTATTACGCAATGAAAAACAATCTGCCTTTGATTCTCCGGTTTCCTGTTTTGTTTTTTAAAGATAAAATGCCCTCCCTCTGAAAGGGGAGGAGGGATGATCTAGCCTCAGACAAACAGCCTCATTTTTGTTTGTTTTGTTTGTTTAAACTCATTTGGGGTTGATTCTCCCTCCCTCCGTCCCTCTCTCCCTCCCTTCTTTCTCTGAAGGCAGTTTATCGTAAAAACTATACAATGGAGGTTTCTGGATCTCCACTATTCCTTCCTTCCTTCCTCCTAGGCACGACAGTTTACAAAATCTGGAATGAAGCTCTTTGGAGAAAGGAGGAAGGAGAGAAGATCAGAGTTCCAGAGATGTCCATTTCAGGTTTTTAAACTACCTTTCCTCAGAGGAAGGTGGGAAGAGCTGAGCTCCAAAGACCTCAATTTTATAGTTTTTAGATTGCATTGACTTTGGAGAAAAGAAAGGAAGGACCCGAAATGGCTCCGCAACTATTATGTGAGGAACACAAATATACTAATGTTGTCACCCCAACTGTTATGCGGACACAACTGCTATGCGATGAAATAGGAGAGTTTGGCAATGTTTAAATTTAAACCAATGGAATATTTTACTGAAGTGCCTCTCATTTCCCAACAGCGAGCCCCCCCCAGTTTGTATCAATGGAGGAATTGATGGAAACTGCAAAAGGTGTTACCAATATGGTGTTGGCCCATGAGATTGTTGTCAATGGAGGCTTCCAGATTAAGCCATCTGATTTGCCAGAAAACAGGTAAGAGGCTGGAGCATGTCTGTACAAGAAACAGAGGTACGGCTGGTGGCTCCAAACAGTAAGAGCATAGCAATTAAATACAACTCTCAGCACAGGAATAAGAAATTCAGAGCATCTTGTGGTTTTGTTAGATATTTATTCAGTGGACATCAGCATATTGGCAGTGGAAGCAAAGCTATTTGATGTATAGATTTCTTCTATAACTCAGACCCAAAGAATCTTAATAAGCCATCTGATACAGAATTTTTGATACAGCCCTCTATACTCCTGGAAATAATGTCTGACTGCTCACTGGAGGGAAGGATAGTAGAGGCAAAGATGAAGCCACATAATGAGAAGACAGGAAAGCTTGGAGAAGACAATGATGCTAAGGGAAATGGGAGGAAAAAGGAAGAGGGGCCGACCAAGGGCAAGATGGATGGATGGCATCCTTGAATTGACTGGCTTGAACTTGAAGGAGCCTGGGTTGGTGACGGCTGACAGGAAGCTCTGGCGTGGGCTGGTCCATGAGGTCACGAAGAGTAAGATGCGACTGAACGAATAAGCAACAACATAGTCCTCCAGCCCCTTAGACAATTGCGCCCAATTCGTTCTGTCCATCTCAATGGTCTTAATACAGCTAGGATTTAGATTCTAGATAGGCATCATTTCCTTAAACTGGTAGACTGTTCAGCTAGTATCCTTTTCTCCAGTAGTGATCGGTTTCTGTTGCTCCATCAGTCAGCTTTGTCTGTAATCTTGGCAACAGGTTCCCTCTTGTCTGTTCTTTCTGAATTATAATTTCTCATTGAACACAGCTCCCCATTGAACACAACAAATACATTATACTCTGCCAGATCTCCTCCATCCCCCATAATATCAGCCAGTTCACATTTTCATTTAGTCAGATTATTTTTTCCAGGCCTCACTTCCCTTTGTGTTAGAGCTATTCCAATTCAGTTTTCACTATCTGTTGCTTCACCAGCCTCGAAAAACGAGTGAGAGATATTGTCCACAAGGCCTTTTGGGATTGTTTGGAAACCCAGTTAAAAGAAGACCCGCCATCGTATGATCATGCAATTAAACTTGTGGGAGAAATCAAAGAGGTAAGAAAAAGAAAATACATTTTATTTCTGAAGCTCACAACAGCACTTGATTAGCTGTAGTTTGGGGTAGCAACTTATTGAACCAGTGGTCTTGATATACATGATTTTGATTCTAAGCAAGCATTATTTTCACAGACTGGTAAACTGTTTGGCCAGTATCCTTGTTTCAGCAGTAATCTCTTTCAGGTTTCACATAAAACCTTTCTATTTAGAGGCATACATGAATTGTAGATAATATATGGATCATTTTTGTAGCTTTCATCATTACATTGGTTGCTTTCCTGCCCCATAATGCTTTGAAATGAGAATGGCACGGCCAAGGTTCTAGTATTTACCTGGCACTCAATTTCAATTAGTCAATTTTCTGCTTTTTAGCACTCCTTTTTTTCCTGTTTTTTCCCCCTCTTTTTTGGCAGTAAAAATTAGGGCAGAACTGCTTCTGGTGGCACAGTGGGTTAAACCACTGAGCTGCTGAACTTGCTGACCGAAAGGCCAGCAGTATGAATCTGGGGAGTAGGGTGAGCTCCCACTGTTAATCCTAGCTTCTGCCAACCTGGCAGTTTGAAAACATGCAAATGTGAGTAGATCAAATGTGTTTCTTCAGGAAAGTAATGGCCCTCCACATGACCGTTGAGGTTCTTCGGCTTAGAAATGGAGATGAGCACTAGACTTAATGTCAAGGGGAAACTTTTACCTTTTACTTCCATATAATATCTTGAAATCCTGTGTGATTCCTTCTCTGCAAAGTGGCACCAGAAGGGAGAGTTTTGTAGAGAAAATATGACTGCCAACAGGAGGTGACCCAAACTTGTTTCCATATTTATATTCGTATTGGAAGCAGAATCTTGGAATGATGTCAGATGAAGAAAGGGATAAGCACCTCTTTCCTCCCCTCTCCTTTCAGCTTCTTCGTAGTAAATTTCCTTGTCCTGAAAAAACTTTGTTAATAAGAGGATTGCTGAGATTGCAAGACATGAAGTAGATTCAAACATAATTGTTCAAGCTTTATTGTCAGAGTTAACACAGTACAACAAAAACCTTTTTGTTCTTTGTATCTGTTTTTAGGCCTGTTCCTGGAGTTGTTTGGGGCACTGATTTGGAAAAGTGCATTGGATAGACCGCCTCAACTCTAGTTTCTTAGATATGGTTATTGTGGTTTTCTGTGGGTGAGCAGGTGGCAACTAGTTGATGGCATATATTCTGTATCTCAAAAACGAGAGCTGTTAGAGGAAAACCTATCAGGCTAAATATACCTAGAAACAGGCCCAACATTTGGGGCACCAAAATGTGTGTTGGCCTGTGTTACAGATCATTCAAGCTTTATCCTCAGCAATCAAAGATCATATGTACATACATGCACCAACCTTGCATATATATTTCCTGCCTAAATGTCTTTAATAAGTGAAAATCTTTATTAAAATTTGAAATATTTGTTCATTATTTTTATAAAAAGACCAATTTAATAGGTAATATAATATTGCTACAACAGGCAGTTGCTCTAGAAGAGCATTAGTAGGTGCAGCCCTGGTATACTGTTAGGAGCTAATAGAAGGTACATTGGTTTCTTTCAGACACTCCTGTCTTTTTTGCTGCCTGGGCATACTAGATTAAGAAATCAGATTACAGAGGCTCTAGATCTAGAACTGATCAAGCAGGAGGCTGAGAATGGCGCGCTTGACATTTCTAAGCTGGTTGAATTCATCATTGGGATGATGGGGACCCTCTGCGCTCCAGCCAGAGATGAGGAAATTAAGAAGCTGAAAGACATTCATGAAATTGTTCCCTTATTCAGGTAATGGCATGATTTCCTGTGAAGGTGGGGCTTGCTAGAATATCTGAAAGCTTTTGATAAACAGTAGTACTGCATATATAATTGAATATAAATTGATATGTATATATGTATGTTTCTCTGTGTGTGTTTATATATGGAAGGGATATTGCTAGAAGTGGGAAACAGTAAGAAAAGCTATGCTTTTGACCAAGGATACTGGTGAAGCAGTGTTGTTTTTGGTTTTTTTAAGATCCCTTAAAAAGTAAACAATCCCTTTTGCTGCCTTTTAATATGGTTTTTAATATCTGGGTTGAGTATCCCTTATCTGAAAATCCAGAATCTGAAATGCTCCAAAACTGTCCATATGAATGGCCGAGATAGTGACACATTTTCTTTCTTTTTGGTGGTTTAGTGTATACAAACTTTGTTTCATGCCCAAATTCTATTTAAAATGTTCTGTATCTAACTACCTTCAAGATATGTATATAAGGTATATATGAAACATAAATAACTTTCTTGTTTAGGTATGGGTCCCATCTCCATGCAATTTCATTATGTAAGTGCAAATATTCCAAAATCGAAAGAGTAAACCCCCTGAAATCCCAAATACTTCTGGTCCCATCAAGCATTTCAAAGAAGGGATACTCAATCTGTAAGGAGAGCATGCAATACATGTGGGTTCCCCTCCCAGCTCAATCTTATTCTGCGTGCGTTCACATTTAGCATAGTGATAGAGCCATTGGGATCCAAAAATTGCTAACATTTTAATCCTATCAGTGTTTTAGAAATGTACATCTGCTTGAAATGTTTGAATGCAATATTCCTGCTTCTTGGCAGGGGGTTGGACTGGATGGCCCATGAGGTCTCTTCCAACTCTTTGATTCTATGATTCTATGTCTCTTTTGGGTTTTTTTGCAGAGCAATTTTCTCCGTGTTGGACTTGATGAAAATGGACATGGCCAACTTTGCTGTTAGTAGCATTAGGCCACATTTAATGCAGCAGTCGGTTGAATATGAAAGGAAGAAGTTTCAGGAACTATATGAGAAACAGTCAAGTATGGATTTTGTTGTTTTTATTTGCCAGTTATCTCTTTCTGCTGTTAGAATGCTGTTGTTGAACTGATACTGTGTAAACGTTCAACCCAAATGTTGAGAAATCTGATAACACAATTCCACAGGAGTAGAATAAAAAACACATATAATCAGTGTACCTGCTTTAGATGAAACATACTTAGAATTACCTTATCCGTAAAGCTAGGTTCTTCAGACTCCTTTATTCTAGGTTAGTTTCCTTATGTGAATAGGACTTAAAATACAACAGTTTTGCCAGCTTCACAATCTTAAGGAAAATCAGCAGGATAAACATTGACTGTATCAAGCAATATGAAACATGCAGTGTGCTCATGTATTTTTGTTGTGGTTGATTCAAAAACAATTATTTAATCAACGAAAAATGTTCAATTGATGGAAAACTCAACCCACATCAAACATTTTTTTTATCAGAGGGATCGTTTATCGTTTGAATGTGAAATGAGAGAAGAAAATACACTCTTTCAGTTATTCAACTTTTTAATTAATCTTTAATTGCATCTTTTGTTTGGATTTCTTTTTGTGTGTTTATTTTTGTCTATTTGTTCTTACATTGTTATGAACTACATTAAAATAATTATTGTAAAAAATACAGGTTGGGTTTCCCTTGTCAGAAATGCTTAGGACCAGAAGTATTTTGGATTTTTGGGGGGACTTTGGAATACTTGTACTTGCATATATGTACATAGTGGGATATCTTTGAGTTGAGACCCAAATTGAAATGCAGAATTCATTTAGGTTACATATACACCATACAAACATAGCTTGGAGATAATTTTACACATTATTTTAGATAATTTTGTACGTGAAACAAAGTTAGCATACCCCGAAATATCAGAAAGGGTACTATCACAGCCACCTATGTGGATAATTTTGGAATATTTCAGATTTTAGAATTCTGGATAAGGGATGCTCAACCTATAAATAGGAAGAGTTGTGGGTTCATGAGAAAAGGCTCTGGTAATCCTGCTTTGAAATAGATTCCCTAGCTGGTCTTGAACCATAATCAAACATACTTGATTTGTTTTGACTTCACTCAAAAACAGACTCCTTAGACTTTGTTACTGCATGGCTGCAAGAAGCTGCAGATGACTTGAGGTCCAGAGCTGCTCTTGCCGTGGATGATGGTGCCACGTCTTCCAGTGGAGCTGCTGCCCTGTGCCCTGTTGCCATACAGAACCATGCCTACCTTAAGCTGCTCAAGTGGAACCATTTACAGAAGCCTTTTCCAGAGGTAACAATGACTTCTTTTTCAATGGGAGCAGCTTCTATAACAGGCATGGGCAAACTTGGGCCCTCTGGATGTTTTGGACTTCAGCTCCCACAATTCCTGCTTCTTGGCAGGGAGTTGGACTGTATGGCCCACATGGTCTCTTCCAACTCTGCGATTCCATGTGAATGAGAAGTCTGTTAGAAGTGGCAAAGTGTTGGATGTGGGAGGGTAATTGGGTCTAAATGGGCCAGGTCACTGTTTCTATTCCATCTAAGCAGCTGGGAAGAGCAGCCCATTAATTCTTTCTTTGAATAGAACTCACAGTACTCTAGAGAAATGAAAGCAAATGGAAAATGGCCTCATCAAGGTAGCAAGGAGTCCTAATGTACTGCTGTATGTGGAGGCAAATTAAGCTAGCAGTTTGGATAACTTTGGAAATCTTGATTTTATAATCATGCATTGTGTCTTTCTCATCTTCTGTAATTAAAGTTTAATATTATACTTCCTTCTGGAATATGGGATAATCATAGAATCATAGAGTTGGAACAGACCTCGTGGGCCAGTCTAACCTCCTACCAAGAAGCAGGAAAATCGGGGTCAAAGCACCCCCGACAGATGGCCATCACCATTTAAAAGCCTCCAAAAAAGGAGCCTCCACCACACTCTGGGACAGAAAGTTCCACTGCTGAACAGCTCTCACAGTTAGGAAATTCTTCTCTGCCTGACAGATGGGCAATGTTGTTGTTGTTTCTAAAAAAAAGACACAAAACGGCTTATAGTAAAACTGATAGAATACAATTTAAAACCTCAAAAACATATAAACATTAAAAATGGTATTGAAAATTAACAATTAAAACTCTTTAAATGTATAATGTGTAGGTCTGTTCTCTAGTTTATTAAGAAATGGCTTGGTTTTTATTGCGTATTTGTTAGGAGGGTCCCTGTCTTAAATGTATTTAAAAATAGCTCCTATACAGAACCCATTTGTTTTTACAAAGTAAATAATTAACAATGTTCTTATTTTATAGTATTTGTACAGGATCAGGTTTGCTTTTTAGAATTATGCCCTCCCAAAGTGATGTGCAAACAAGACAAAGGGAAATGGGAGAAAGAGAGTGAGAAGACTATTGTCAGTATCTGCTAGCCCCCCCCCCCCAAAAAAAAAAAAAACAAACCAGTCCTTGCCAGCACTTTCTCTGTTTTTCAAAGAGGGCTTCAGCCTTTAACTGGTTGGGGCAGAAGGATATCCAGTAGATGTACCTTTTTAGCCATTTTGTTGAGACTTCCTTTTCTTCCCTACTTAGAGTAAGGCAAGATATAAATCAAATCAAGTAAAGAAAACTTTTAAGCTATTTTTGCTATACCGTATATATAAACGGTTCTCAACCTGTGGGTTGCGACCCCTGTGGGGGTCGAACGACCATTCACAGGGGGTCACCGCTTTGTCTCCTTTGGGTCTGAAAATGGTCTCTTCCTCCTCTTCTTCCTCCAGTGGCGTGAAACAGAGAGGAGTCATAGGGAGGCACTTGGAGGCAGAGGCACGCATGGCGGGCTCTCCTTCTTTTCCTTCTCCTTTTGTTCTCTCCCCCTTTCCCTCTTTTTCTTTCTTGCCCCTTTTCCCATCTCCTTTTTTCATTTTATCCCTTTATTTTTCTTTCTTCCTCTCCTTTCTTCTTTCTCTCTTTGTTCTCTTTCTCCCTCTTTTTTCTCTCCCTTTCTCCACCTCTCCTTTTTATATCTCTTCCTTTTCTTCCCCCCTCCTTTCTCTTCCCTTCTTTCTCCCCTTTCCTACTCCCTTTCCCTTTTTATTTCTCTTGTCTCCCTTTCCCTTTCTTTCTTCTTTTTTCCTATCTCTTTCCTTTATTTCATTCCCCCCTTCCTTTCTATTCCCTTCTTTCTACCCCTTCTCTCCCTCCCTTCTCTTCTCTTCTCTCTATCCCTTCCTTTCCTGTTGATAATTATCTTACTCTTCTCTTTCCCATTCTCCCTCTATCTCCCTCCCTTTTTCACCTCCCTTTCTTTCTATCCGTCCTGTTTTCTCTTTTTTTCTGTCACCCTCCCTTTCCCCCTCTCCTTCTCTCTTTCCTTTTTTTGTACCCATCCCATATTTCTTCTTTCTCCCTCCCTTCTCCTTTTCTATCTCTCTCCTTCTTCTCCTCTCCTTTCCTTTCTTTTCTCTCCCTCCCCTCCTTCTCTCTTCTTTTTATCTTTCTTCCTCTCCTTCTCTTTTTCTCTCTCATGCCCTTTTCTCCCCTCTTCCTTATTTCCCCCCTCCTTTTCTTCCTCTCCTTCCCTTTCTCTCTCTCTCTCTTATACCTCTCTCCCCCTTTCTTCCTTCTCTCTCTTTCTTTTTATCTTTCCTTTCTTCCATTTTCTCTTTCTCTTGTGATCCCCCTCTCCTTCCTTCCTTCTCTCTCATGCCCTTAAGCAGCGTCTCCTTCTCTCTCACATTCTTTACTCTTTTCCCCTCTTTCTCTCCCCTCCCTCCTTCTCCCCTATTTTTCTTTCTCAGCCTCAGAGGAAGGCAAGAGTAACAACACAATCTGGCCAAGAAAACCCTGATGGTTTTGGCCTAAGGTTTACAAAAGCCAAGTTTGGTTTTTCACATCAGAGCAGCTTCCCCGTAAAGAAAATACCTTATCCACATTCCCCCTCTTAAGCAGTCCCCAAATTACAAACAAGATAGGTTCTGTAGGTTTGTTCTTAAGTTGAATTTGTGTGTAAGCTGAAATAGGTACATTTTTTAAGTGTAACCACAGCCATATATAATTACATACTGTTTTGTGATTAATCACTATGCTTTAATTTGTTCAATTTGTAACAATGAAAATACCTACTGCATATCAGATATTTACATCACGATTCATAACAGTAACAAATTGTATGGTTGGGGGTCACCACCACATGAGGAACTATATTAAGGGGTCACAGCATGAGGAAGGTTGAGAACCACTGGTATATACAGTCACTCTATCTTGGCAAAAGTCAGCACTGAAGAAGGTCCCTGTGCAGATAGAAGAAGGAACAAACCTGTAAGAATTGTGTTTTTTAGTTTTACGGCTATTAAGCACATTAATCTTTCTAAAATGTATCTTATCATGTGAGCAAGATGATATGTGTGTAGGCAGTTGCTCGGTTAACCAGGTTCCTAGCCATTTAGGGCTTTTAAAATGGAAGATTGGCATTTATACGAGTTGTAATAATTCACGGAATTCCTGCACATTAATGATTTTTTAGATGGCTCACCATTTGTTTTGATGCCTGGAATAGTGACCTCCATGAGGAATTTCTTGATTTATGTCTGGGGAATTACAGCCCATGCCAGTATCTTTCTGGTGCTATATATTTAAAAATAAAAAAGTCAGAACATTTGGGTCACCGGTACATTTATTCTGTACCCAGTGACCTTGTAGATTTACAAACTCCAGATTGTTGCTGAGTTGACATTGGGCCAGTTTTTTTAATTATTCTGTGAGCCTAGCAAGTTTCCAGAATTGTGCTCACTTTTGTTTATTCTTTGTAGAAGAGAGCCAATGGGGAATCCACATGTTACAGTTTTTAGTGTTATCCACTTTCAGTCTCCTTTAGTAAAGAAAAAGCAGGGCATAACAACAACAACAACCTCAACAATTATGTAGTGTTATCACTGAGCCTCCATGGCAAAGTCCTGCAGGTGAACAGTTGCCTTGAAACTGCATCCGTGATGTAGTTCTTTTGTTGCTTCTCTTGCATATAACCTGGTTCTGGTTTGTTCTTGGAATAAGGGTTCACAACTTTACAATGCAGCTCAATACAAAATGATTAAAAATAAAATGGGGGAGAAGTACAACTACCAGTATTTTCATTCTACGGCAACTTATAACAAACCCCTATGTTGTGTGATACTGTCATTTCATTCTTACTGTGAAGTCTCGGCCTGTTTATTTCCCAGTTGGACTGTTCCATTTTGCCAAGTTTAGGGGAGAGCTTAGGTTCCCCTAGAGGCCGAGTTCGGTTGGTGCAGCCCATTCTGTCTCAGAGCCAGAATGGGCTGGTTATAGAACTTCGTTCCCCATTCTTTGTTGGTCTTAGCTTGTTGACAGTTGCTAGATAGTGTCTGGTCTGGCCTAGCAATTTGAACAGGCCATCCTTATCACGTATTTGCCATAGAATAGATAGTATTTGCCCTAAAGTTTATCATATACGTTCCGTAGATAGTTGTATTTGCCACGTTTCATAGATAATATGTATTTGCCTTATAGATAGTTCATAGATAATATATGTAATAAAGGATAGATAATATTTGTCATAGATAGTTACATCATCCCCCATAGTGTATAGTTATATTTACCTCATAGAAATAGTAATTTGTTACCTCAGAGTTAATATTATCATAATCAATTCTCACCTTTGTACATTGTTGTAATTCACCTTGATTATTTAGTAAACAATTGTTAAACTTGGTCTTGTTTGTAGAGTTTTATTTTGGGGGAATTATAGTAATAAGGGCATACCGATGGTCACTGGGAAAATAGCCAGACACATTTAGGTTTCTCATTAGATCTTCCTGGTGTGCCATCACACTTACAGTATCATGTTCTTCATTCCACAGTTTGAATTAACCATCCTTTGCTTTATTGATCTCTTTTAATAGACTGTGCTAATGGACCAAAGCCGATTCCAGGAAATGCAGTTGGATCTGGACCAGCTTATTTTAACCGGGGCTGTTCTTCTGGTAACGTTAAGTGCTGCGGGCACCGCTCTTTCTGGGTTGCCAGGCTTTTCTGACAAGCTGAAAATGGTCATCCGAGTGCTGTTGACGGGGCTGCACCTTCCGTGAGCATCACCTGGCTTTGGGGCTCCTTGGTGGTCGGGAAGAGGGCTGAGGCCTGTTTGAAAAGGGTCCATACATTATTACCTTCTTTCCCTCCCTTGGTAGTAATTTGCTTTGAAGGTGATCGGGAGTACAGTGTGACTGGTACCTGCCGTTTCATTAATCCACATATGACAAAAAATATCCTCTAGACATTTTCTAGGTTCTCAAGGACGACCCTATGGTACGTTTGGGTTGGAAGTCTTTACTTTCAATAGCGTTTGCTATTATCTGTGGTTTTGCATATCCAAAACGTTTGGGTTGGAAGTCCTTACTTTCAATAGTGTTTGCTATTATCTGTGGTTTTGCATGTCCAAAACGTCTTAAATAATACAATAGTATTGTTAAACAGTACAACAAATTACAACCATGTATTATTTGGAAATAATTAAGTCACACAAACATTAATTAAAAATCTATGTTATGATTTGGCACCAAAATAAAGCATTAGTTGGAGGGAGGCATTGCTTAATGGAGTGCCATAGTCCAGAAGGCCCTCTCCCCTGACCTCATGTGGTGTATTTCTTCTGCTGGTGGGTGCAGACATAGTACAAGGCAGCCCATGGGTTACAAACATCTGGTTTACATCCGACTCCTAGTTACAAACAGGAGTGTGACAGCAGGAAGTGAGAAGAAATCTACCCCCATAAAAGTTATCATGGAGAAAAGATGCCTCAGCTGAAACTTTCTCACCAATCAGTGTTTCCATGACAACCCAAAATTTTCAAAATCCATTTGTCACAGGAACAGAAATTAAGTCTTCTGAACAGGGGCACAGACAGCAAAACAAACTCCAAAGGGGTGTTAATGCTATCCAACACAGGGGTCCTATGCTATCTAAAGCTACTGTGTGTGCGCGTGCGTGTGTATGGGTGGAGTTACATTTTAAATGTGCCTATTCTGACTTACAAATTCAACCTAAGAACAAACCTACAAAACCTGTCTTGTTTGTAACCCGGGGACTGCCTGTGTATCATTCTCACCTGTGGGAGACCCCAATCCCCTCAACAGGCCCATAGAAGGAGAGGCACTCCTTCACATATTGAGATCCCGAGCTAGTTACTTAGACCTTTGAATGCCATCACAGTGAAAGTGTGGCATTTATTTTTTTCTTGGACCCACCCAACAAATCAACCTATGCTCTCATTTTATCAAACATAATTGGCAAAGGTAAAGCATACATGAAGTGGGGTGGATTAATTGGAAGTATCTTATCCACATATTAACTGGAACTGATCTACCTAAATCTGGTCAGATGGCACACTACATGCTTCCCCAGGCTGTCATAACTGTGGAATCAAGTTCTGAGTGAATATGAAAACATTCTCCTCCTCAAAGCACCTTGTCAAGTTTTTCACAGCAGGTGATCATGGCTTCCAAATTCATGCTGTTTCTGGCCCAGTCCCAACAAGCTTCTCTTGAATTGTTTTTAAAGCAGTATTTGGCATGTAAAACTCCCACTAAAGCCACTTCACTCTGCAATTTTCTGATGCTCATGGCTTGTGATTTTGCATGAGGGTTATACATTAGCAAAGAACACCCTTTTCAGGTTGCATCCAATGAGACACTGGGATTTGTAGTTTGATTAGGCACTATCAGTCTCTGGCAGAGAAGTCTAAATAGCTTGCAAACCTACAAACCCCATGGTTCAACAGGATGTAGACATGGCAGTCAAAGTGATATCAAAGTGCTGTAACTCAGTTGCCATGAAAAGGACCCCCATCAATTCAAAGCTGTTTTATAGCTTGTAAGGGACATGGATTTTTCAACGCTGTCTTTAATGAATCAAATTTCTTTTTTCTGCAGCTCCTTCAACCTGAATGAAGCTTTGGCTATCCTAAGTGAAAAGATTTGTGCTGAAGTTAATAGTAGTCTTTCCCAACATGGATACACACCTTTCACGGCGGAGAAAGAGACTGTACTTAAAGGACAGATTCTGGCCCTGGCCAGTCCTGATAACTCTGTTTGCAAACTAATAGGTATGCATACTAGACCAACCTTTGTTTTTGTATGAGGGAGTCAGACCTTTCTTCCACTTGTCTTCAGATGAAATCTGTAAGTCAAAAACCTGAGAACACAGAAGCAGCTCACTGTTGTAACATAGAGAAAGGAAGTGTGTTCAGTGTATAAATCCTTTTGGGATGGGAAATCACTTGATTTTGAGATAGATAGATAGATAGATAGATAGATAGATAGATAGATAGATAGATAGATGTTACTTCATATAGAAATAAAGATCAAAACCAAGAATAAAGAGAAATGTTGGGAGATAAGGGATGTTCTCAAATTATTATGCTATGTAACAAAATTTGGTTTTTTTCCCTTCTGTTCCTGGTTTGAAAGTGTAATTTCTTGTTTAATTGTGTGGTACTAATTTGTGGCAGCCACAGAAGCGAAATTTGTGGAGTATAACAACTACTTTCAAAGAAAGTAGTTGTTATCCTCCACAAATTTCACTTCTGTGACTGCCACAAATTATGTTGAATTGGTTGAGACTCTGAGATGCTCATTGACAAACTATAGCAAAATGTACTGCAGGATGTTCCACACAAAAAAAGTTTTTGCAGTCTAATAAACTTTCCCCCCATGTTTTTATGGTAGAACCAATTAGGAAATGATATGTATAGCCCAGGAACAAAAATTGTGTTACATAGTGAAAGAGTTTAGAAAAGCAGGCAGTGTCGGGTTTAAAAAAAATGGAGGGTTTCTCCTGAGATAGGGAAGTCAAGATACTTGGGAATATTTGGAATAGAGAGTAAAAGAAACCCAGGGTTCACTTGTTTATGGTTGAGGTAAGGTTGCTGAAACAGAAACAAGTCCCATGATGGACCCATCTGATGAGTTTACCTGTTTGTCTTGTGAAAAGGAAGCCAGGATCTCTCACTAATGTCTTACTTCCCTTCTTAAGATTCAAGGATCCAGTCCTATCTGGAGAGTTACCTTGCTTCCGGCCACCAAAAATCCCTTCCTGCGGTTCCAGGGGGATTGAGCCCTGTTCAGAAAGAGCTGGAGGAAATTGCTGTCAAGTACGTCCGCCTTGTCAACTACAACAAGATGGTCTTCAGTCCTTACTATGATGCGGTCCTCAACAAAATACTGAATAAAGATGAGTCGCCTAAGCTGTGTGGTTAAACCAAGACATGCAAAATTGAATGCTTTTGTACAAGATCCTCAGCAGTTGGGATTAAATCCAAAACAAGACAGTAGAAGGATGCATACCTATATTAATAGTTGTGTTTGTCAAAATTGTCAAGAGTTGCAAAGCAGAAGGGTCTCTCATTATGTGTTGGGCATCTCCACATTCAGATTTGTCACCGCCTTTTCCCTTCTACCCAAAGATTCATGCTAAAGTCCAGAAGCTTCCAAGCGGGACAGATAAAGTTAGGAACTTTGGGAGGAGAAGGGAGCAGGTGAGGTGGAATGACATGAATTGTATTATTTCTCTCCCTGCTCCCTGAGTTTATTAGGGCTCAGAGGACTTTATTCAGGAGCTCCTGACAATACCAGTGTGCTGTTGGAATGGTGTGGAAATTGCATCACGCTCCCTGCCCTATTTCTTTGGACTGTTTTTGTGGAGGGGAGAGGTGTGGGAAGACTTCCTCTCGCCTTTCTCCTTGTGCAGTTGTCTTGTTTTATTGTGTCACAGGAGGTCTATCTAAGGAAGCCTGCTTCTGTACATGAAATAGTATTATTGGATCAAAGTGGTTAACTTTTCTCTATAGGAAAAAACCCCACTTTTCCAAAATAGGTTTCCTGTCAAACATTTCAGTCATTAAATAGCATGAGTGCAGAATGGATCCTCCAGTGATACACACAAAAATACATGAAATACTCCAGCTTCTTCTCTAACTCAAAAGCTAGAGCTAGTGGTGAAATATGGCCACCTGTAAAAGCAGGATTATAGCTGGTGAAAACATTCTGTCAGCATGTGCTTTGAGGCAAAAAGTTAGTAAATGCCTCTTTTTCTAGACCAAGTTACATGGTTCTTAACATCTACTCTAACAACTGTAACAGTAACTTGAAAGTTTCAGCATGGTCAAAACCTGGATACTGGTAGATAAAGCACTTTATACGTAGCCTGCAAGCCAAGGCTCTTAGTCAACCTGCCAGCTGTGGCTTTTTCTATAGCCTTTGTTTCTCTACCCTGCAGATATTCTACCAAAAACATATATAAACTATATTTTTTTAGAGTATTTTCTGGTTCTTTGGTACTTCAGAATTCACAAGAGCTTCTGTAGATTCAAGGTGGAGTTTCAAAAGTGTGAAAAGAAAATCTCTTTTGAGAAGAGATGTGGTTTTAAAAATAATCGCTGATAGCATGCAATGCTAATATAAACAAGGTGCCCTTCCACACAGCCCTATTTCCCAGAATATCAAGGCAGAAAATCCCACAATATCTGCTTTGAACTGTGTTATCTGAATCCACACTCAAGATAATGTGGTATTTTTTGACTTGGTATTCTGGGATATAGGGCTGTGTTGAATGGCCCAAGGAAAACTTTATACCTGAAGGTGATGAATAAATAAATTGTGTGTAAGGCTCCATAAATGCCAATGGGGAAGTGGAACACTTTTTAAATGTCTCCCATTGAAACCAGTTGGATTAAGCCTGTTGATCTAGAATTACCAAAGTAAAATAAAATCCCTATTTCTGAATGAATTGGTTTGGGCCAATGTATATGGGAGCTTAGGCTCAAACTAAATGAGAAAGTGCTGCTGACTAATTTGCAAACTAGCAATGCTACAAGTTTCATTCCACCAATCCCAGAGCTGATGTAGATCATTTGCTTCCCACTGTTTACAGTGCAAGATAAATCATTAGCAAGAATGCACCCCGGAAAGACCAAAAAAACAAGGCCACTTCCTCTCATCCAGGCTGCCTGGGAAAGGCTCAGCAGGACTCTGCAAGTGGCAGCTTCCTATCCCTCTTCCGCTAGTATGATTGTTATGCCAGTAAATTGGGAGGAAAAGTTGGGAAAAGACAATAGATGGAAATTGAGTTTTCTGTTGACATTGTCTGGATTGTATGTGTTTAGTTGAAACTATTGATAATTTAAATCTGTTGATGTTTTTCTTCAGTGTTTATGTTGGTGTAGTCTTCACTTTCTGTACATCACTAACTTATATGTATAATAAATACACATATTTTTTTTGCCAGTAGTCTACATGTTCCAGTTGAAAATAATTAGCAAGCGCCTCAATTGATTTTCTGGTTTTCATGTTTGTCTTTTTGTAAATTTAGTACTGTTTGTGGTACGTATAGTTTCTTCCTTGGGTTTCCTCTGGTATCTATATATGAGGGACTTAAATATCCTAAAAGCAGATCCCATCTTATTGAAGACTGAAGGCCCATCAGCCTGAGTCAAACCCCACCTCCCATTCCCCCCTCCCCCCCCCCCAAAACCACCATTAGTTTAAGTTATGTTGGGCACAATAGGTATGTGTGTCAAGCGTGGTCTAGATCCATCACTGGTGAAGTTCACGAGGCTCTCTGGATATGGGAGCCATCTTGGAAAATACATCCAAACATACATTTTGATTTTTTTATTAGATGGATGGATAGATAGATAGATGGACAAGATCCTGTGTAGTACTCATAAACCTAATTGGGAATGGCACTATTGCTGTGATCATAAAGTGTAATGCGCATTTTGGCAGTACTTTAGATTATGGCAAGAGTGGTATGATTGTGAATGCATAGCATCCTGTATTGCTGTGCTGTGTGTGTGCAAGGGGGTGTGGGGGTGTGACTGGGCGAAAAACTGCAACCTTCCACTTTCTATCCTAGATGCTGCAAGGCTCAGTGGTTGAGATTGGCTTTCCCAATTATCAAGAAAGAAAATTGTTTTATTAATGGCCTTTAGTTAGTAATAAGGTGCCTCTGGTGGCACAATGAGCATTGCTGACCAAAAGGTCAGTGTTTTGAATCCGGGGAGTGGGGTGAGCTCATTTGTCAGCTCCACCTTCTCATGCAGGGACATGAGAGAAGCCTCCCACAGGATGGTAAAACAGCCAGGCATCCCCTGATTAACATTCTTGCAGATGGCCAATTCTCTCACACCAGAAGTGACTTGCAGTTTCTCAAGTCGCTCCTGACACAAAAAAAAAGTTGGTAATAGTTGCTAGAAATAAAGTAGCAGGACACATGATATTAGAGCTCCTTTATTTGAAAGGAATGTGTTTTTCCCATTTTAAACTACAAAACAGTTTCCATTCATTCTGCCATAAATAAAAAACAAAGAATAAGGCAGGACAGACACTACACGAGCAAACTGAGAAGAACTGCTTGGCTTCCAGAAGTGTGAATTTCAAATATTTCACCATTATAAGCTATTCAAATTTTAAAAAATAAAACTGTCAGAACTCCCATGAGGTTGTATGTGGTAGATGGGGAATACCTTTGAAGAGCAAAAAAATGCAATTCAGACATTGATCATGGTTTGTGTTCCAAAATCTTTAGGTTCTGCCAGAGCTCAAATTTGCTCCTTCTAAGATTCATCTGCCTTTCTTCCTTTCTGGCGAAGAGCTGGTAAAAAAGAGGCACCACAGTAACAAAATAACCTCAGTTGCAAGATGCATGTTAGAAACTTCAATCCCTTTTAAACTTTTCATTTGTTGGAGGAAAAAATGTTACAAGTCCTTTATTTCTTTCACAGTTCTGTTTGCAACCCGTCTCACCGGATCCGCTTCTGTTGCCGTGCTCTGTAAATGTCATGAATGGGAGGGACCACTGACCCTTTGTCTTCCTCCTCATCTGAATCTTCATTTGGTCTTTTGACAGATTTATTTAAGAGGGCATTGTTTTCCAAAGGTCCATTCCCTTCCATTGACAGGTCAGGCAAGCCTCCAGTTATAATCCTCACAGCTTCATCTACAGCTTTAAAAGAAAGAGAAAATGGTTAGCTTTGTGAATCGTATGTTTCCTGAACAGTTTATAACTCATGTTTCTAGTGTGTTCTTGTATGTAATTTTGGACAAACCCTTTTATTTTTTAACTAAAATTTCTATAAAACTCCCATTCAGAAATTCTTAGGACCACTGGTAAATTCTCTGATGGCAAAAGATTAGCAATTGTTTGAAAAAAATATATGTGGCATGTTTTCAGAGAACATTATCATAAAATAATAAGATGTAATAACCCCCCAAAAATATATTCAAAACAAAAAGGTGCCCTGTGTTTTTTCCTATGATTTTCCCTCACATATTTGTACATGACCATCATGTCTCCTCTCAGCCTTCTCTTCTGCAGGCTAAACATTCCCAGCTCTTTAAGCCGCTCCTCATAGGGCTTGTTCTCCAGACCCTTGATCATTTTAGTCGCCCTCTGGACATATTCCAGCCTGTCAACATCTCCCTTAAATTGCGGTGCTTGGAATTGGACAATATATCCTTCGAACAACAATAGCTAGCTTATTTGCTATTTTCCTAGGGTAAACCATTTCAAAACATAGTGGTTTAACAGTACTATACTGTGAGAGTGCTTTATATCTGTACAGCCAGCCTTGTCTGTTCAAGATATGTGCATATGGATGGTGTACATCCTGTCCATTGGCTGAGTTGTGGAGGATTTCTGGGAGTCTTATTTGATTGTGGTGCCTTCTGTGAAGCAGAGAAACCTTTCTAACCACAAAATGACCAAATGGACCCAGCCCATTGTTCGGAGCAAAGCAGCATCAGCACGTAGTGATCTATGAGAGGAGGAATCGAGATAACGCCTTTTACTCCCCTCCACCGTTATCTTTCTTTACTATGTGTTTTTGCTTCCTTCTCACTTGCAGATGTCACTTTCCTTCTCATTTAATCAGTTATTCCCTTTGTCCACTCTTTTTGGAAAGAGCATCCATGGAGCTCCAAGTCCAACAATGAACTCTAGTTTACACCTGCATGAGAGTCAGCTTTTAAGTCAAGTATAGGTCAACTTGTTTGACGTATCTTCTTTCCTAAGATGGATTTCCTGAGGCAATAAATGTAAGGGGCCTTTTTAACCTTACAAGGGCATCCAGAGTAATTTCTTCTGTTTCTACCACAAACTCATGTTGCCCTAGCCTCACTGCAGTTTGCATAACAAATGCACTAAATATTTCCACACCTATATATGACACAAGCCTTTGAATTCTTGATCTGTCAATACCTTAAATAGCCAACTCAAAATGTCAAAAATACGGTGCCATCCTCCAGTGATGTCAACATACGTCTTTTAGCACAAAATAACTTACTGTCTGGGAGTTTACACCTCCTAAGAATCTCCATGAGCTCATCCACTTGCACAAATGGGCCCTGATAGAGAAAAAAGAAATTCTATCATATAACCATTCTGAACTATTTTCAACTAATTTAAATTTTAATATTTTTACTACCTTAAATTAATTTAAACCATTTCATTTTTAAACTATGTTTACCTTACTCAAATTAAACCCTTGTGCCTGCAGAACTGCTGACCAAAAGGTTGGCAATTCAAATCTGGGGAGTGGGGTGAGCTCCCCTCTGTCAGCTCCAGCTTCTCATGCGGGGACATGAGAGAAGCCTCCCACAGGATGGTAAAACATCCCGGAACCCCCTGAGCAATGTCCTTGCAGATGGCCAATTCTTTCACACCAGAAGCGACTTGCAATTTCTCAAGTCGCTCCTGACATAGAAAAAAAACTCTACCCAAAGACTGTTTGATTCAAGATGAGGTCCAAATAGTTAAATTAAAACATAGTACAGTACAATACAGCAAAAGCCCGTAAAACCTTTAAAAATATTGTTACTCACCTGAAAACACACAGGAGGTGGGAGAAGTTTCATTAGAACGACAGCAGCAGGAGGAACTGGAAACACCCCACCAGGGACTGGGTGTAAACCTGGCGCTAGTAAGTAATAAAGAAATAGATAGGCTCAAAAGATCTTATAATATAAAAGGAACAACAAAATTAGCACCGATGGGAATTATGGTCTCAACGGAGCCGAGGGCAAGTACTCTTATATCTTCACAATTTAAAGAGATCAGCTTACGTGCTAAATGTCTTGGCTGAAATGGAATCATCTGCTGCGTATCTGGTTTTGGATATTCCGGCTTCCTGTCCGCGTCGTCTTTTAACACGGGTACTATTGAGGGAGCTACAACAGGATCTGGAATTAACGTTGCTAGCTTCGCACGAGAAACATCCTGGAAAAGTATACAAAAAAGAAGCATAAATTATCCTCGTTCCAGCCTTCGCACTTGCTGCTAGAAAATACCACTCTGTTGGTGTGATGCTTCCTATTCTAAGCATACATTTAGGACAAAACAGAAATCAGTTAAAAACCTCACAACCTCTGAGGATGCCTGCCACAGATGCAGGCGAAACATCAGGAGAGAATGCTTCTAGAACATGGCCGTACAGCCCAGAAAACACAAAACAACCCAGTTAGTGTTGCCTTTTAAAACAATGAGAACATCTAGTCTGTCTCCTGGACAGACTAGCAGAGCATTACTAAAGGCTTTCCCGAAGAAGCTGCTAGGATCAAGCAAACTTTGTCCATTTCTGGCATACATGGTGAATTGGCCATAAGGGTAACTGCCATCGTCCCTTCTTGTTGTTCTTTCAGCACTGATCTATTGGGTCTGGGGTTAAGAGTGGCTCAGACAGGATGGGATTTCCAGATGTGTGTTTTCAGGCATCAGTGCATTGCTTTTTC